GGGGGCCCTGGGGCGCCTGGCACCACTTGGTCTCGACGCCCCTTGCCATGCTTGCCAGGCTCGCTCTGGGCCGTTAGCGCTCCTGTAGGGATCGCACCGCGGCGGCGAGCGCGGGCGCGATGAGACGTCGTTGGAGAGCCCGCGCACGGCAGGGAGGGGCGCGCAGCGCATCCGCGTCCCGTGTCAAAACCACCACAGGCTCGTCACCACCTCTGACGACAGGCGTCACGATGCCGCCCCTCCGACGGATCCTGCACCCATCTTGGTCCATAGGCCGGCCCGCGTCAAGGCTGGGCGAGGGCCATGACCCGCGGCGGCGGCGACGTGGACACGGCAAGGAGGACCAGGAGGAGGAGGAGGGTGGAGCTTTCGCCCGGCTTGTCCACCCAACACGTTGACGACCAAGGTTGGACGGCGGCAGGCGAGGAGCGCAGCGTCGTGCCTTTTCGTCGCTGGGCATACGCCAAACCTTCCCACGCCCAGCCGAATGGGAACCACACGCGGCGGGCGCGGCCTGGTCTGTGGGAGTGGGAGTGGGAGGGGGCCGGGCCTCCGGACGGTGAGGACAAGCCATCCGACGGCCGGGGGGGGGGGGTTGCCTCGTCCGAGTGAAAAGGCAGCCAGCCAGCCAGCCAGCCCAGAGGCGCCCGCGCGCGCGAGAGCGGCCGGGGCCTCGGAGAGCAGAATGGGGCCCCTGCTTGCCTGCATCCATCTGCGCGTGTCCCCCTGCGCCGCCCTGGCCCTGTGTGTGGAATGTTGCTTTGTCGCTTGCCAGTCCCGAATGTTGTCGCGGAGGCCCCACCATGCGCGTCGTCTTCGTTGTCGTCGTCGTGTTCCAGGTGCTGCTGCTGCTGCTGCTGCTGCTGCTGTCGGTGCTGCTGCTGCCGTGGATGCCCGGCGGGAACGAGCGCTGCTGCTGTGCTGCCAGCGCAGCCAGATTGCGCTGCCCGCCCGCCCTCGCCCGCCCGCCCCCGTTCCATCATTCCATCATCCTGCGCCTCGCGTGCTACTGCAGGCTCGTCGGGCAGGCTGCCCTGCTCCTCCGCTGGTCGCCTCGCCCACCGCAACACCACCGAAAAACCACCTCCTCCACCAGTGACCACCACCACCTCGCCAGCAGCCAGCAGGCCCCGTCGCCCGTCCAAGTCGGCCCACACAGCAAGGACCCCTCCTCCTCCTCCCTCACCCCAAATTCCATCTCCGGGCCCTGGCTGCGTGTCAGTTGGCTTCGGGGTCGGGCCAGGTGCGGCTGTCATTGGCCTGGAGACGCTGCGCCAGGCTGCACGCCGGCTGCCGCCTCCTGTGCGAAAGAACGGGTCAGGCAGATGAGAGATCACCTTCTGCATCAGCCCACTGTTGGCGCCGCCGCCGCCGCCGCCGCGGCGGTGTCGTCTTTCTGCGCTGACGCGCGCGAGAGACGAATTGCTCGTTTCTGCCTCTGCCGCGCCGTCGGGGACCCAGCTCACCACTGCCACCGTTTCGACGATGCCCGTTGCGGCCACCTGCCAGACGACGGGCAGCGGCATAATTCCTCGCGTCCCGCGCGCGCGCCCCTGACTGTAACGTCATTTGACGTCGGGCTCGGAGCAAGCACTCCATTCCCATGGCGCGAACTGCTGCTGCGAACTGTACGTGCTTCGCACAGCAACCCCCTTGCTTCCTTTTGCCCTTTCATGCCACGCTGTGATGCTTGTGGCGGCGCGCAGAGTTGTGCTCGTGCTGCCGCCCCCGGTGCAATGTAACGAGTTGTGCCTGGGGTATCGCTGCGGCTTGCGACCTGATTGTCCACATCTGTCCCGCTGGCATCAGTGCAGCTTGGCTGTTTGGTAGTACGTACCTGTCGAGGCTGCATCGTGATGGCTAACGCCTCCGTGGCCCGTCACCACCTCTTTGTTGTGAGGGTTGGGGCGCCACCCGCTCCTCGTCACACACTTGCCCTAGCGCAGTTGTCCCGCTCGATCTGTGCCATGTGCTTCAGCTGCCCTACGAGTACGGAGTACCAGCCAGGGGGTAGCATCGCCATGGCAGGTTCCGAGCTCGCCGTGCCACCCCGGCCAGGCCCCCATCCTCCCTATTCGTCAAGCGTCTCTGAGCGTCACTGAAGACTCGCCCCAACTGACGGTTCCGAGGCCCTGACGGCAGGCCGTCCGTGGCCTCTCTCGGTCTGCGTTGTGCAATGGCCATACGGCTCATCTGCCTGTCTCTCCATATCTTGCCTTTCGCCATCGGCGCTTTCATCATGGGTGCGGTGGCCGTGCAGGCCATGCCTTGACGCCGGGCGGCGACTCATTAGCACTGCCCAGTTTTTTTATCTGGCCCAGCTCTCGTCCCGGTCCCGCAGGGCCCGAGGGGGCTCCGCCTGAGCTCCCCAGTCGAGCAGCCTGTTCCTTTTTCGGATCTGGCTCCGGCCTTGGGGCCGTCTGGGGGGTCTGGCCAGGCCATCCCGGACTGGTTTCGTGCTTGCAGCCCGGGCAAGGCGTCGTGTCTTGGGACAGGTGCCCCCTCGCTTATGGCTGCGTCTGATTCGCATTCATTGTCAGGCAGAGATGGCTCGTGCAAATCTTGGCCGAATGGTGGCTGAACCTCGACCGCCAGCTCCCAAGCCTCACTCCCAACCTGGGCCAGGGCTCATCGAGATCCGGCTGTCAACTGCCAGTCAAGCTCATGGCTTATCCCTACTTGACGTCCGTAAAGGGAAATACTTCGATAGTACGGCGCACTCCATCCATAGCAGGCAACATCCTTTTGACGGGATCACGTCAACCGTTTCATTAGAGTTGCGGCGGCTTGAGGTGCTGAATCACTTTTAGATGGATTAGCTGCTCGTCACCTTTGGTTCGCTCACGGAAAATGTTCGTACGGTTTCTCCCCGAGTATCCCATTTTGCACGGCAGCCCTACCAGGCGATCAAATCACTCAGCTCACGGCTCTGCAAGTGGTACACTTCGATTTGCCAGCTACAGTACAACGCGTTATCGGTGGCAGCAAAGACGCACACACGATCCACTCGCTGGAGACGACCGTCGTGCGCAAACAGGAGCTGCAGACTCCTTGCTCCCTCGTCATCAAATCTGACAACATCGAACCATGTGAGATGGAGCAAAAAGGAACGCAGCTTCGTTACACACAATGACAAGCGGGTGCTTGCCGGCCGTAACCGCATGAGGTGCAGCCCTTGCAGATCAAACCAGACCACCGGAGTCGTTGACACGCATGGTGTGGCGATTTTGGCGCAGCTTTGTGGTGTTTGAGTGCTTAGCCGATGCTGGCTGGCCATGCCACCAGGCGACCGGGCATTCTTGTCTCAGACGTCTAAATGTAGCGAGACAGCACCCACTGCCGCGGATTCTGCCCCAGGACCCTAGCAGGACGTCCAGCAGTCTAGACGTCTTCAAACTCGTGCTCCGCAAGTCTTGCGATGTGCTCAAGCCTGGTCGCCTCGGGGTTCCGAGCCGTGCACGTATCCAAGCGCCCCAGCTTCGCCAGGATGCTACGAAACTGTGCCCAAACTCAGGCGCATGTCGCCATATGCGCACAAACATGGCCAAGCCAGGTGCTTCAAGCCTTCATTGGCTCGCCGCCATGCGAGTGTCATCCAAGCTGAATCCGGGTGGTGAGAGCCAGCCGGGTGAAAGGGGGGTTCGCCCCCGCGAGGCTGGACGGAGGCATCCGAAGTTGGATTCCTCTTTCGGGCTTGACGGACCGGCCAGTGACTTCCCAAGACGATGTGTATTCCTGGGGCTTCACCCAGGCTGATTTGTCGCAGTCGTGAATCGTCTTGGAACGGGCTGTCCGCCGTACTGTCGTCGGTTGGCCGAGTCCTGTGAAGATCCACGGAGGGGCCACGCACCCGTCGGCAGGAGCACCTGCGGCGTGGAACCCAACCCTGCCAACTGCAGTTCTGCTTCTGCCGGCCAGCAGGACTGGCGAGGCACTGGAGTGGCCTGGACCCGGGTCCACCGCGCAAGTCGGGAAGTGGGGGGCGTTCGCTGCTGCATCCATGCTGGATGCCACAGGCCACAGGGGGGGGCTTGGGGGCGTGGCCAACACTGCCCGTGGTGAGGCAGGTCCGTGCGTGCCGTGCTGGCGTCATTTGGCACCCACGGCTCAGCGAGCGTTGCTTTGTTGGCACGATGCGACGCTTTCCATCGCGCGTCTGGGGTTACCGAGCCACAGGGTCCAGTCGCAAAGGGGTCTGTGGCCGTCATTGTTCTCGAAGCCCATGTCGCAGCCATCCCACCTGGGCCAGACGTGGTCAGAGCGGGCACGCCGTCCGACTCCCCAGGCCGGCAGGGGTGTTCGCCGTCCAATGTGGCCCGGCCTGCAGCGTGCCGCGAGGTCTGGAGCAGCCTCGGAGACGGGCCCGGATCGGCTAGCCTGCCAGGCGGTTCCCCATGCTCGGTAGCCGTGGGCGGGTGGCTCTGGAGGGGCAGTAGCAGCAGCAGCAGGAGCAGCAGCAGCCGCGCGCGTGGTCGGCGAGCCACCTCCATCCAGCACGTTTTAGTGGCGAACGGGTTTCCGAATGATTTCGGCTCTTGACGCCAGTGGCCAGAGTTCGCGTTGGGTCCCCGCAGTCGACTCTTTTGGGCTGAGGTGCGTGGTGCCCGAATTTCACACCCTGAGCCAAACGGAGCGGAGATCTGGGTGACGCTTCTTCGGTCGCAGCTGGGACGGGCAACGACTTGCTGAGACGGCAAGTCGAGAGGCGCACGGATGAAGATGCACCACGGACACGTCCTGCAAGGGGAGGGCAGGGCCATCGCCAAGTCCTGCAGCTAGACTACGCGCACGTCCGGACAACAGGACACTGGCAAAGAAGTCGTACGAGAGCTTGCCGTAGGGAGGCGCGCTTTCAGTAGCCAAGGTCTGCAGTAATTTCCCGTAATCTGGAATGGCGGCCGGGCGTCGTGAGAGACGCGAAGCAGCAGCCCCCGGGAGGTTGGAGCTCGTGGAAGCGTGGACGCTCTCGTCCCCGAACGGTGCCTGTTTGGGAGGACTCTCCTCCTGCTTCTCCCACCACCTGCCCGAAGAGGCTGTTCTGCGACAGCCCGACCGTGGATCGGGACTCGTGGCCATTTCATCAGCAGCCTCGACCGCTCTCCAAAACATCTGCTTCGCTCTCGCCAGACGCCCTAGCCCGTCGATTCAGCCGCGCCATCTCTACCGCAACGGCTCCATTGGGTCTGTTTACGGCGATGCCACGCGGCGCCTTGGGACGAAATGAGACGATGGCGAGCGACCCTGTTGGTCGTGGTGGTGGTGGTGACGGACCTGACGGCTGGCGCCGGTGTCGGGGCGTGTGCTGCTGTTGGTGCGCTGCCCTCCCCGGTCAAGCGGTGGCGCGAGAAGCGGCCAGCGCCAACGTGGCTGCCTTAGTCGTACCAGAATGTCGGATCCCTCGCCATTGCCCCAAAGCTCGAATCCAGCCAGTGGCATCTGGTTCCACTGATGGCTTGTCCCGTTTCCCCTGCCCAACAGCCATGGCAGTCGTCTGCAAAGGACGGACCACCAGCTCCTGAGGGAGGAACACACCGACGAGTCAAGCAGGTACCCTCCGAGTATCATGCTGGATTCATACGGGACTGCAAATGATGGCCATGGAGCGTCTCCGCACCCCAGGCCACCCGGAAGACTGCCCTTGCGGCCGCGGGTCATGCACAGCAACGCGGGCGCTTCCTCGCTGATGCAATGCGACCTCGTGACCGGCGGCAGTCTGACCACAGCGGCACGAGATGTGTGATCTCTCCAGGCCTTGCCCTGCCCTGCCCTGCCCTGCCCTGCCACTGAAGCTGAGCGGGACGGAGAGGCGATGGCGAGCTGCTCTCGAACCCCCTCGTGCTCCTCCTGCCAGCGCGTCGGACCTTGTTCGCTCGCTGCCAGGTGGTGGTGTGGCACTTGGGTTGTGCATGCACTGTCAACGACGACAACAGCCCCTGCCGATTCGCTCGAGTCCGCAGAGGCGCCTGTGGGGGCCGACCAGCCGCCCCGTGGGACGACAGCGACAGGCAGGTCTCAAGTTGAACATGTTGGGGTGCGCCCGTGGGACTGGTGAGATTGCCTCTTTTGCTGCCTCTCAGCTTGGAGCTAAGCAGCGGGCCGCTGGATCACTCACATCATCCGTCAACATGCCGGCTCCCACCTGGCGGCAGGGGTGTCCGCGCTGTGGAGGAGCTGCCGGAGTACTTGGCGATACCTTTGGCCTGCACGTCCATGGCGCTGGTCCATCCTGGCTTGCCTGGCTGGCCACCCTGGCCCCTGCTGGTGCGCAGAGTGCGGTGGCGAGGGCCTTGCCTTGTTCATCGCACCAGAGGGCCTGGAACCCCGTCAACAAGGGTTGCGACACTGGCCGCCGTGGTTGGCTGCTCGCCTCGTCTAGCCTCTCGCCAGAGGCCAGGGACGGGGAGCTTAGTGTCGACTCGGGCCCGGGCGGCCACGTGTGAGATGGGCCTCCGGAGGAGACCCCAGAGGCCCGGCAGAGAGGGTGCAGCATCGTCATGATCAGCGTTGCCAGAGACCTGGGCCAGAGAGCTGGACCAGCGAGCTCCACTGGCGGCGACCGACCGTCGATCCAAGCACCCAACACGAGGTGCTCACCCAAGGTCGGGGATCGCAGGATCTGAGCCTGAGGTCACAAACAACGCCCGGACAGACCAAGAGCGCTCTCGCCCGCGGCACGATGCGCCAGTCCGCGGCGCAGATCGACGCGTTCTTGGCCCAGGCTTTTGGCCCTTCACTAACAAGCAGCCGTTGGCCCTCCGTCGCATTCAGCCACATGTAGATCACTGCCAGACGTCGCCCTCGCCATGGCACAAACAAGCGCGATGAGATCCAGCAGGCGTGCCTGCCCCCCCGTCGATTTGCCGGAGCACTGGCCCATGTGCGGCACTCGTGCTGCGGACGAACGAGCATGAACTTGGTGCAGTGTGCAGCTGACCCAGGTTCTGTGAGGCAGTTGGCCGATGGCCCTCGGACTCGTCCAGTTCCAGTCTTTGACCCTGACCAGCCCAGGTCGCACGGCATGTCCAGCCTCCGCCAGATGTCCTCTGGTTCAACCAGCACCTGAGTTGTTGTCCGTGCGTAAGGCGAGTGAGACGAGTCGATTGTGTTGTTTATGCCCTGGCAGACGGCGATGATGCAGCTCTGACGTGCACGCGTTTCTCCGGTACTCCGTATTCCTGCGTAACCGTTCGCAACGAGTAGAGCAGCAAGGGAGCGATGGCTGAGCCATCCTCCTTGTTTGGATCCTGGCGTTGTTATGCTACCCCGTAACGCACGCCCCCAAAGTGTATTCACGACCAGGCGATGCCACGCCCCGCGAGGCCACGACGGCCAATCCAATGTGTTGAGGATGGGAGCTCGTGTCGAGAGTGGCTTATCCCAAGCACCAATCATCGTAATCCACCCAGCATGAGCAACTGAATGATCGGGAGTAGGTTCTTGATGCCGTGCAGGCAGTGGACAGAACACGATCGGCTGGCTACATTGTCGAGCATGCGGGGCAGGCACTGGCAGGGATAAAGTGGTCACCGTGGGTTGCCTGTCTGTTGGTGTTGCCTCTGCAAGGCCTCAACGACGAGTAGGACATGGAGCTGCGCGCCCCCCGTTACCCCAGGCCGGTCTTGAGTCTGCTGCTTCGGGCCGTCGATGCTGTGTAACCGGACTCGGTTCCATACGAGGCCCTCGGCAAGCTTTTGCGATGCTACGGCCTTCGAGCTAGGGCCCCCAGTGATGCTATTTACAGTGTTCCCGAGCGAGCGTCTGTTCGCCTGTGATAGACGATGGAAGGAGTATGGTTGGATAAGGCAGCCTTTGAGGTCTGTTGGGTAATATGGGTTACGCGAGGTTACTCCAGACGCCATGCTCGGAATCGGAATGTTTCTTGCGGGCTTGCATGGAGGCGGCGGTCGAGCCAGCCTCGTTGCCGACTCGATCAGAAGTGCCCACCAACACCGATGCGTGCCGCGTCCGCATTGCCGGGACGTTGGAGCTGTTCGGTCAGCGGCATTTGCCCCTTGCAAAGGCGACTCCTGCGCCTCGTATTCTTCGAGGGATGGAGGGTGCCGTCCAGGTTGTTGGCGCGCAACTGGAATTCAACGGCTTCTCTCGGGCTTGTCACCCTTGGTACTTTACGCGACAAGGCGGAAGAGCACGCCCTTTGGCACACTTCCCGGGCCTCTGCGCGACGATACGCGACAAGGCCGACGCGAGGATTCGTCGCGGCGCGCGCGCGCGTAAATGAGCAAATCCTGTCCCCACGTCCTGTCTCAATCGCGGCCGGCGTGTCCGACGTCCAGAAAAGTACCTGCACGCTCTTAATGCGCCCGACGCAGCAATGACGTGCTTCGAAGACTGGGGAAATTGACTTTGCGAGCGCGAACGTCCCGCCCTGCACGGAGGCAGCACGAGAGACACAGGTACCACCTTCTCGCTAGGCTTCCGGCTTGAAGATATCAGAGGCGAGGGGGTCTGTGGGAAATTACGTGAGGCGAGGGAGTTTTGTGAGACCAGTTCGCAGATCGAGGGGTAAGAGTTCGCGGTTCCTGGATCAAGTGGGCCAGGTTGTGGGCATGACGATGACGCCGGACATATCGATCGCTGACGGGAGATCTGGTTCATGCAGGGGGCCTGTGAGCGCGGGTTAAAGATCCCTTCTAGTTTCAGAGGCTCATCCACCTCGACAAAGGGATTGTCTATTGGCTTCTTTGGAATGCTAAAGCGCTATTACCACGGGCATTTCTCGAATCACTCATTTCCCGCTTCTATGCCGCCAACCAAGGCAACCCGTCCGCCCTCTTGTTCAAGGCGCAGCAGCACCCAGGGTCCGCAGCTCCCTTACTCCCTCCATCATTGTTGCAGGGCGTTGGAAATCTCAATCGTCACCTTGCCATCGGCCTGTCCGACGACCCTGACGGACTCGAGGTCCTTGACCACCCAGTCGGGCTTTGCGGAAACGACCTGCTCGACTGTGTGACTCGTCACGAGGCCGATGACCTTGCACCCGGCGGCCTTTCCCGCCCTGATGCCCGCGGGCGCGTCCTCGAGCACCAGCACGTCTCCGGCTGCATCCTGCAGCCCGAGCTTCTTGAGGCCCATGAGGTAGCAAGCAGGGTCCGGCTTGCCGTTCTCCACCGACTCAGCCGTCACCAGGTGCTCCGGCATGGCGAACTTGAGAACGTTTAGCCAGCCCGAGACGAGCGGCTTGGTGCCAGACGTGACGACGGCCCAGGGGCTGGACAGGGCCATCAGGGCATCGAGTAATGACCTCGCCCCAGGAATTTCCGTGGCGTCGTCTCCATATCGCTGCGGAAGCTGTCCCTCTACCTTGGCAACGTCTGTACGAAGCCGTTATCAGCGATTCTGTGAGGCGCTTCACCAAGTGAAAAATCTCGGGCGTTACGCACACTCCCAGTTGGCCTTTTCCGGCGCAAGGATCTTGAGGACGTCTATGCTGCGCCGCCCATGAGATGTCTGGAGGATCGTCTCAGGATCAACTCCAATGTCCTTTCCAATGCTGGCGCGCGTCAGCGGACTCGGGGGGCAGCCCTGGGATGATCTAACTAACGTGTGCCAGTGCTTGACAATGGCCGGCGTGGAGTCGATGATGGTGCCGTCCATGTCAAACAGGAACCCTGAGAAGGAGGCCTGCTCGGCCGGCAACGAGTAACTCGGCTGGGATCCCATGGTGGCGTTGGTCGTGATGCTTGCTTCCATCAAGCTGAGGCAAACTGGCTCGGTGAGGGGCGGTGAATTGCTCGTTCCGTCTTGCGTGACAACAGGTGGGGCTGGGAGGGCGCCGGTTGAAGCTGACGATGTCGCGGCGAGATGCTTGACAACGTCTATAAGATATTTTATAAAACAAGCTTCTCGGAATGCCGTCTCCGTCAAAAGATGATTGCTCAGCACCTTGCCTCAGCATTCATGAATAGTTCATCCGAGGCGGATCTGAGATTTTGGGTCTTCAACTCCACGTGGTAATTCCGCTGTGGCGCGCGGGGCTTCCTGTGTGGGTTAGTCCACCTTGGCCGCACCTACCCTGCACAGCACACGGCTGTCGTGAATATTGCTGAATGATTAGCGTGACAGTAAGGGTCGAGCGAGAGTTGGGGGCTTGGGACGATGAAGGGCCGCTTTCCCATGGTCTACGCGATACGGGGAGGCATTGGAGTTGGTACTGTACTTTGATTTTGTGTGTTGGGCCTCGTAGTGTTGTGCAGACAACCAGGCGCGGCGGTGGCTCCGCAGCAAAGGCAAGCCTCGCCAGCACGTCTCGCTCGCTTGGTTGTGACAAACCGATCATAAGCACAACGCGTAAACCACCACCGACAACGGAACAAGACGGCTTTGACTCATGGCCGATTGCCGCAACCAAACCTCGAGTCCACTACATGGAAAGCACCTCCGGCCCCTGTGGGGGATGCGAAGCGTCTAAGCCTGGACCCCCAATGGACATAAAGGGTAAGGTGGCAGCCGTTGACGGGTGACGCGCTCAGGCCCCGCGTGGCTGCGAATCGCTTCACCCCGCACCCAAGTCGACAGCCCGCCGTCCTCGCTGGACACGCACCAGGACTGCCATCATGGGCTCGCAGGCCAAGGACCCCAATGAGCTGACAGTGCTCGTCACTGGCTTCGGTGTAGGTGCCCTTGCCGCGCCTTCTCTGGACGATTCTTGCTGACCACGCGACAGCCCTTCCGGGAGGGCTACCCCATCAACCCATCATGGGAGATCGCAAAGGGCCTTCCAGAGCACCTCCCCCCTCTGCGCGCCAAGGACCCCAGCTCCCGACAAGCCACTGATCTCCCGCCCGTCCGCATCCTTGTCCATCCCGAGCCGATTCACGTCGGCTACAAGGCCGTGCGCGGTGTCGTCCCGACCTTCTGGGACGGGTCCCTGGGCCACAAGATCGACTTCGCGATACACATTGGCATGGCCGGCCCGCAGCCCGTGTACAAGGTAGAACGGCGTGGGCATCGCACCGGGTACAAGTCACCCGACGTGGATGGCGAGAAGCTCATAGACGAGGAGGACGGCAGGCATGGCGAGGACTGGATTTGGCACGGCCTGCCGGACGAGATCGAGACGGACCTAGACCTGGAGAATGTCCTGGAACGATGGCAGGGCCACAGCTCTGTACGTCCGCCCCTTTCTGCGATAGGATCCGGGACTGAACGCTGACACCGTGGCAGAAAGACATGGACCTGCGCGTGTCCGAGGACGCGGGCCACTTTCTCTGCGACTTCATCTACTACTCGAGCCTCGCGACTCTGCTGAAGGAGGACCGGCCACGGAACGTGGCATTCTTCCACGTCCCGGCCAATGCGTCCGACAAGTACATCACTCAGGGCCGGGATCTTGCCATCAACCTGATCCGAGCCATCGCCGAGAGCCAGACGGCGAGGAAGGTAGCTGTGGGCCGGGAATAGCCCGGAGCCAACACGTCGCGGGGACGAGGACATGACTGGCGAGCACTCGAGTGTCTCTCGAGTCTTGACTTACCGCGGGCAATGGGCTGTTGCGTCACGCAGCCGCATGGATCCAAGCCCTTCCCGGATGCGACACCCCGGATCACGAGATGGGAAACAGCCATTATAGGGCTGGCGGCGGCGAGCTGAGCGCTTACTAGGAAGGGAAACGACGGGCAGGTACAGACAGCTACATCCGGAACTCAGGTCACAAAATGGCAATGCTGTGCAGGCTTGCTGCGTGCTTTCGCTGCCCGTAATGGAGTGATGGATATGTCAAGGCTGGAGTTTGTGGACGGCGATCTCAAGCCTCGCCGACCAGCTGAGCCCAAAGCGGATCGGTCGGCGACTCCGCCGGACCGCCGGGGCGCGCGCCACCTTTCGGGCTCCGTCGCCCAGCCTCGACTTAGTCACTCGCCAACGGAGTGTCCCGCCATCCCGCGTTTATATACCCAGCCCAGACACAAAGCTGTAACAATTAGATCAATATCAATCCAAAGGCTGACGCAACACCTCATCCTAAATCCAGCCCGCCGCCACGCGTCGCATCTACACAATAACCGCTGAACTGCAAAGATATCCGGCGACTACTAATCACTCACAATGTGTCGGAAAGCCACCTGCACCACCTGCAGTATGTCCCTCCTCATCGCCTTGCCCCCTCCACCCTCGGAGAGAACCCCCGCAACCACTCTCTTGCCGTTGCGTCGCGGCCTATTGAACCCGAAGCGCCCCAGGGCTGACATGGTATGAACCCAATTGACAGACAAGACCACCTGGTGGGGCTGCGGCAACCACATCGCGGCTGTCATGGATGCCGTCCCGGTCGTGGATCGCTGCACCTGCGAGCCCAAGGTCGAGCGCGAGGGCAAGCAATACCCGCCCATGGCCAAGCAGCCGGCGTGACTTGTAGGGCGGGCGGCTGCACTGGTCCTGTGGACGAGGGGGAAAAGGGCCGCGTGGTCGGCTGAGGGGGTTGTGGAGGAGGACCTGTGAGCGAGGTGGGTGATGAGTGATGAGTGACGACGTGTGATGACGGTTGCATGAAGGGTTCACGTCGCGAGACGAGGGTGACGGCCTGTGATGGCGTTTGTGGTGTTGAACGCGCATGCAGATATCTCTCCAGATTGCATTCGAAATCGTAGAGCTCTACTGCCATGACAATTGCTGTCCCTGTGCCGTGTCTGATTTTGCGCTATGCTATATCGCGCCGCTCCTATGATGCACTATCGCCGCCTCGCCCCTGGGCCGGCGCCCGCGTCGCCCCTCTCCGCAAGGCTCACCACCTCCTGAATACCCGCCGCCTCCTGCTCTTCCTCGAGCGCCAGGATCTCCTCGCGGCAGTCCCACCACTTCTCCTCGCTGAGCTCAAACGCCTTGGTCTTGATCTCCTTGACGGTCAGCGTTTCGGGCTGTATGTTCTTCCACCGGAGGCTTGTCATTAGCACTTCCTGCCACTCGGCCGTCGTGCGCACAAAGAATTCCCGCCGAGACTCGAATGGCTGTCGGGCGCTCGTTAGCACAAATCTGCATGGGAGGGGAGGATCATGGGGACTGAAACATACCCTCGGGTGTGGCAGGCCGTCGTCCACTGACGTGGCTGCCATCTCGGTCTCTTCCTCTTCCGACGCAATTGCCGGGGTTGACGCCGTCTCGGAAGTTGTGTCCGACATGGCATCCTCCTTCTTCTTGCGCTTGCTGGGTGTATGAAGTGGCTGTTCCTGTTCATCGCCTTCCTCATCCTCATCCTCGTCATCTTCCTCCTCGTCCTCGTCCTCATCTTCGTCGTCTTCCTCGTCCTCCGATTCCTGCAAACATTGTAAGTTTCTTTCATCCAAAGGGCCGCCGAGATACTCACGATCCAATCCTCCACAGGCCTGCTGAAAACTTCCTTGCATCCGTCGAGTTTACTCAGGTCAATTGCGTAGAGATCATCAAAGGTAAACTCCCGATCACCCTTCTCGAACGTGCCGCCGTAGATGTATAGAACGTCGTCTTGGACGGCCAACTGTGCGTTGAACCTGACATGTGGCGGTTCCATCGTGACTGGCATCTCCCTGACCGGCTTGTCGTCCTCATCCGGCTCTTCCACCTTCTTCTCGATTTCGATGCCGTCTGCGTCGTCCAGAGAAGCACCCGTCTCGAGGGCTGCAAGCTGACGTAGGAGCTCCTCCTCGTTCGCCTGTGCGCGACCACGGCGGCCCACGCGCTGTTCGGGAGCGTTCTTCTTCTGTTGACGGGGCTTCCGTAGTCCCAGAGGCATGAAGCGATTTCGCTCAATGTTCCAGGCGAAGAGCTGATTGAAAAACTCGCTGTCCATGCCCTCTTCGCTCTGTTCCACATCATGGACGCCGCCGAAGAGGATACCACGACCTTTGTGCCAGGTCATGGTTGCACCCGCGCGAGAGGGGTTAGGGGCATTGGCCGGCTTCTTGCGTCTCTCCCACCGCACTGTCGGGGGAGACATGGGATTGGCGTCGGAAGCAGGCGGGGCCATTCGCAGGAAGAAGCAATCGTCGTGCACTTTTGGGATCAGGACATTCTTCTGCCCCTGTGACTGTGCCTTGGTCGTGCCTTTCTTCTTCAGAGCCACCGTCGCCTTGACCCGCGAATATCCGCCAAATAAAACGGCTCCCGAGTCGCACGGTAGCAGAGTAAAAGACGACCTCGCGTCTGGTTTGAGCTGAGCGGGGGGCAGTGTCGGACAGTGCCACATGTAGTTGACTGTGTCGAAGATCCAGAGATCCGCCATATACTTGGTTTGATTCGATGTATCCTGGAACCCGCCAAAGAGGATGATGTACTGCTTCCAGTACGTCATGCGATGCCCGCTCCTGGCGGGAGGACTCTTATCCTTGCCCTTGACCTCGATCTTGGTCCACTCTCTCGTGGCAGGCTCGAGTCTCCAAAAGTCGGAATAATGATGAAAGGTCCCTTGCTTGGGCGAGGAGAACTCTCCGCCGAAGAGGTACACAAAGCTTGGATTGCTGGATCGCGTCCAGGCATGACCAGATCGTGGAAGAGGGGCATTGGGAGAGGTAACGCAGCGCCATTCATCGCGGTTCACGTTGTAGATGTGCAGGTCGTTGTAGAACTGTGCGAGGGAGCCGTTGAAATACTCGCCGCCAAAGAGCAGAAGGCTGTTGCTGTCGTGGGGCGAGGCCATAATCGTGGACGCGGCGCGAGGCCTAGGGGGCGCATCACAGACCGTCTCGGTGATCTTGAGGAATTGCTCCTGCTGCCGACGATACTCCTCGAGCACCTCATCGAGGTCCACATCCTCGGCGTCGCTACCCTCGATCTTAGCCGACTTGCTCTTGGCCTTCTTCTCGCCCTTGCTGGCTTGTTTGGCAGCCTTTTCAGCCTGCAACATACGTCAGTGAACATGTCTTTTTTGGCGACTCGCCATGCCTCATGTCAAGTTGTGAGGCCTCAACTTGCTAGTGAGGGGCATGGAGGGGCACAGAGGGGCATCAGTGCAGTTCTCCTCACCTTCTTGGCTTTTTTGGCCTCTGAGCCCTTCTTCTTGTCTTTTGCCATGGTTTAAAATTTAGGATCACCAAAGAGACAACAGATATTTTTCGCCTTTGTTGGGTATAGGCTAGGTGGCGGAGGATCCTGTATGACAGGTTGAGGTGGACGTGGTTGTGTGCGAAAAAAAGTGAGGGACTCTGATCGCACAGTATGAATATCGAGATTCTCCGACTGTAGCCCAATCAGTCCCAGCACCCAGATCCACCAATACTGATGTTAACACGTCAAGCAACATCACCATTGTCACCCACAGCATTTTTGCCTGAGCCTTCCATGAATTATTGAGCGGAAACGGCTGAGAGATCCAACCCTGTTCTAGACGGAAGCTCTCGAGACCATTGCTTTGGCTATGTCTGGTAAACCGCTAACAGAAGCAAACCCAGGAGATCTTTCCAGCTCTGGATTATGCCGTGACCTGCTCAGGCTGCATGAGGCGGCCAAATAGCCGCATAGGCCGGGAAGCATCCTCCATTCTTCGACGATACTCCCCCAATCCATTGAAGCATCCCCACATCATGGGCTAGGAACTTCAACAATCGAGATTGTGACTATGGTATATCCAGAGCATTTTGGGCAGACTTGCCATTTGTCACCAGTGACATTCCGGGGCTCTCCTCAAAATGTGAAACAGAGAATGGGTTCTCCAAGAGACACGAAGAAGTGGACAAATAGGCTTTACTACTGGTCCACCTTCCAGATGAGAAACCAGTTATGATGCCAGTGCCGCATCTAGCCCATGCACGAACTCTCGGGCAGGACGAGAGGGAGAACCTATATAGTCTGCCCCTACTGACCACGTTGGCGATAGGCCGTGAGCATGGAGTGAAGAGCTCGACCGATGATGCCCGAAACAATACCCGAGCAAGGCGCGCGCTACCTGGAAATCTTCAACAAAGCGATGCCTTGTTCACGCATCTAACGCAGCAGCCATGTCAACGACGACTTTATGAGGACGGAATGCTTTGCCTGGCTTCATGGTACGACAATGCTTGGTTGGGAGAGCCTTCACACCTCGGGCTGCAAACAGGTCTTCATACATGCCCGTTAGGAGCAGGTGAAGTACGAGGAAGCCAATAGTTCGAAGAGAGAAGTCGAGGGCTTGTTAGATGGCTCAACACGTGGAACGGTTGCCACGTACCAGCACGATGTGCGACAGATGCTCGCCGAAATGTCCAGGGAGGTGGGAAGGCGTGAAAGGATCCTGGCACATCGCGAACCGCGGCAGTATGCCTTGAGCTTGATTTGTCAACATCGGAAGTCCCATGGCTGGTATCTGAACAAGGACCTCGGGAGAACTGACAAGTACGTGGCCCGCGTCGTGAAGTAGCCTGTGTGGCAGATATTCCCACAGCGCCTAGCATGCCACTCCGGACTGGAGTATGGCAGCAAATGTCCATATGAAAGATGGTCGTCGCATCAAAATTCGGAGCTTCGCTTCGTTGACACCCTGACCGACGCAGACTTTGACAAGCCACACAGCCGGCTACCGGCTTGGCCTGGTAGAGCCTTCAACGGAGGGACTTGAATCGTTGTCCGAATGGTCCAATCTTGATGCTGGTTGCGATCGACTGCTCGCCTGTTGGCCGCTCAACGGAAGGGTTGCCTTCGCAGGGATGAAGGCCGCCATTGCTTTGCTAGCACCCTGCATGCAGTACTGCACTACCGGAATCTTGCGGCCTTCTGGGGCCAACCCGGCAATTTGCCGAATGTCGCTTGTCCTGGGCAGAAACAGGACGTGGTCCATGAGATGGTATGCACCGTGAAGCTGCTCGAGGTTGTATGGCTGCATGGTTCGCAAGTCAAAGATCTCATCTGATCGGTAGCCCGGGCCTCCCCACGGGGGGCTGGCGAACACAACCGTTGCGGCGATGTCGAGTCTTAACGCCGGGTGCAATGTCTCTGGTCGGTTCACCAAGGTGTGCAAATAGTCGAAGCTGTCACCATGAACCCAAGTCACCATGGCGGGATCAACACCATAAATGCGCGCATTGTTTTGTGCGCACGCGAGGGTCGAGGCGTCACGCTCGATGGCGATTATGTGGTGCCAGCGACCACTAAGAGCAAAGGCGATGGTATTGCCGCCGGCTCCTGCAAACGCATCGATGAGGACTGTTTTTGACGGGTCTGAGTCTTGCAAGTCGGCAGCTATTGCACTATATAAAAGAGTCAGAGATAGACAAGAAAAACCCAAGAAGGGAGCACGACTCACTTTGCGACTGGTTCTGGTGTGACGCCAAACCAGGCATCATCAGTCAAGCACACGCCTTCATCATACCACGAAAAGATGGAATATCTCTGGGAAAAGTATCTGAACAAGGTCAGCCAGAGGTCCGAAGGGTAGAGGTCATTGATTACAAACTTTTGTATGTCCCAGGGCACCTCGTGCTTTCCTTCATAGTGGCGGCACTCATCGGTGAGCGGGAGTTCGCCGGCTGGACAGATTGCGAAAACCTCGCTCGCTGCATCATCATGGGGTGTTGCACTCCCCATGATGTCTAGTCTGAGACTCGCGCCGACCGGCGCGGTCACAGAAAGACGAATCTGATGGTAATCCGAGGCTGCAAGACTCAGAAAAAATGACCACGTCTTGACGAAGCGTTGAGTTGGTGGTTTTCGATGTTGGTGTCAGTGGAAGAGGCAGACTTTATGTAGGAGATGGAAGATCATTGATGGGCCCACAATAGCTTGCTAGCGCGGTTTGCGGGGCCGCCGCGCTACGGCTCTGTGCTCCCCTCTAGTACCACCCAATGCAAGGCTGCACCCAATGGCCAGCTTGCCGCATCGCGACAATCAACCTCACCAGCACAGCATCACCACATTTCCAGCCACGACTTACCTAGCGCACCCCGCGAAGCTTTTCGATAGAAACGGTACCAGAAGAATCGGTTTGGTCTGCAAAGATATCTTAGCCCGGCGGCGAGACAGGACGCAGCATGTTCAACGCGCTCAATCGGTTCATGTCCCGCCTGGACGGCGGCGAACCACAGCACCGGCAACACGAGCGGGGGTCGTTTGGCTTCCAGGTCCTGAGGAACACGAATCTGCAGCTTGCTGTCGAGCCGTGGTTTGACTTTATCGTTGGAATCAATGGAAGACCAATCGTAAGTGCTAGCGCCCCCGAGGCGTTACGTGGTATCTCGACCTGACGGCTGTCCAAGGACGATCCGAACCCGAGTCTTTTCGCCCAAGAAGTACAGAACTGTGCCGGAGGGACAGTAACGCTGGGGCTTTGGAATGCCAAGGTAAGCTACAGGATGGGGAATGACTGACAGACTTGCTAAGAATCCGGCAGGGTCAACGTACGAGAGAGATGCACATCCCCGTCCCCAGCGACAGCGCCTCGCTTGGCCTTTCCCTTCAATACGCGCCAATTGCACTCGCCGCAAACATTTGGCACGTCCTTGATGTCGCACCAAACTCGCCCGCCGATAACGCCGCTCTTCTGCCGTACAGCGACTACATCCTGGGCAGCCCTGAAGGCGCTCTCCATGGCGAAGGCGCCCTTGGAGAGCTGGTTGAGGACCACATTGGCCGGCCCCTGCGGCTGTACGTCTACAATAACGAATACGATGTGACAAGAGAGGTCACGATACAACCAAGCAGAGGCTGGGGCGGAGATGGTGCGTTGGGGTGCGTTCTTGGCTACGGAGCTCTGCACCGGCTGCCACCTCCGCTGAGTGAACCAGTGAACGCGCCAGGGGAAACAATGTTTGATGGAGCTATGAACGAGAAGTCGGAGAGCGCTTTTGTTCCTGCAAACTCTGCTCCGCCGCCGACGTCAGGGGGAGAGTTTCTTGTCCCCGCGCAGATGGTCGACTCAACGCCATCCGGCCCCCCGCGCTCTGGAAAGAAGAAGGAGCGCCATGGTCATAGCCCTAACCAGCTGATGGATGACTACTTCAAGGAGGAGGAAGCGAAGAGCCGGGAGGTGGACAATGCGCCGACATCGAAAGGTTCGGGTGTTCCGCCACCGCCTAAAGCCTCTGGTGGCCCGCCGAAAGCCGAGCCCAAAACAACGGAGGCGGGAGGGGGTGGTGATGAATGAGGATGTCACGAGACACGTCTGGCCAAGAAATTTAAATGTTCATCTTTAAATTTTGCGCTTTCCGATGCGTGACACATCTCTCTTTGCCCGTATTGTACAGGGTGGGTGCTGTCTCATATCCCACCATCTCCGTCCCTGCGTATCGTCGACCGAACCATTTAGTTGATGAAGTTGATGCAGAAGAAATGCAGGATGAGGCTGCAGACGATGAAGTCGGCAAAGGCCCTGAAGGTGCAGTGCGTCAGAATCGCGGCCATGTACGATGTAAAAGAGATATTCCAGCTTACCGTTCAGGGGATACTGCTGGGAAGTCGCTCTTGTTCGCCTCGGTCGTCTGGATACGTAATGACACTTGACATCGTGGATTAGCATAACCAGCCATCAGCTCGAGGTTGGAACGAGTTACCAGTCAGAACGAATTGCCCTACTGTAGCGCAGAAGCCGGACAGGAAGGCGTTGAAAGGCTGTGTGACGACTTAGCTATAGCTCGATCCATGCGCTTTCACGAAGACTCACGTAGTTGCCGGCCAAAATGCAGTACAGGAACTGCAGAGCACCGACGGCGGCGAGAAAGACAAGGAACACGTCGACAAGCTTGGTGCGCTGCGGCGTCTCCTTCATGTAGTACTGATATATGTTCTGTAGGACCTCATCCCAGTTGGCGGCGCCGGTGGACTTGAGGCTCGTCGCGGGCTTTGGCTGCTGGGGCACGGAGCCTGCGGCCGTGGTGCTGGACTGGGTCGTCGCGGCAGCCGAAGGTGCAGGCTCGCGGGCGTTCTTCTTGGGGGCCATCGTCTTCAATTCGCGATGCGACGCTCGTTCGTGGGCGGGCTTCGAACGGCAGATGTGCAGGGTCGTCAGGAGACTGCTGATGACAAGTGTTGTCGGCGCTGGAACAGGTCCCCAGGTACGGACACGAAAGCTCCAAGGTGCTGGGAGCGCGTGATTGGCTGCGCTGCCGCGACTGGGACCTGGCCGGCTGGGGGGCTTCAGACCCACCTTCGAGTCCATGGATGTCGTCAATTCCCTCCGAGCACCCGCCCAGCTTCGGCTGCAGCCCCAACGTGCCGCCATTTCATTTCACGTCACTGCCAACATCGCACTCTTGCTTGTCCAAACTACATCCTCATCACTGGCAAAACATTCTCGGAGATTTCACCATGGTATGTCGGCAACGCATTGGAACCTTGCCGAGAAACCCCCTTGACTCGTATGTGGAGACTAACAGCGTGACGCAGTCGCAACTTCAGAACTCCTCCTATGCCCTTGCAGCGTTGACTGCAGGTGGCGGCATCATGGGCTACGTGAGGACGCGCTCGGTCCCTTCGTTGGTCGCTGGATCTGCAGTTGGAATTCTCTGTAAGCGCACCTCGAGCTCGTGGCGACGCTCATGTGCCTCGTTGAGCTATGTTAGGTTGCTAACCTCGGCCAGACGGCATCGGCGGCTATCGCCTCCAAAACCGAGAGCCCTACGGCATCGAGCTGAGCCTGCTCGCCTCTATTATTCTCGGTGGATCTGCCATCCCTCGGGCTATCAGACTCAGAAAGCCCGTTCCTATCCTCCTCAGCGTCCTGTCCGCCTTTGGCCTGTTCACCTTTGGCAGTGCCTACCGCCAGAAGCTGTGAGGCCCGTGCAGAGCAGCGTGATGCCAAGATGATATCATTTGGCTATCTCATAGTGTAATATAGCAATTCGAAATTGTCGCGGGAGCCCTTATCGTAAACCTATGCCCCGAATCGTACATCGTTAAAGGATAAAACGGCCACTCGGGCACTTCGTTTCGAACCAATGAACGCCAGCCATGCATAAAATAATGTTGTACATTCGTCTTTCGGAACGGGTATCGTGGAGGAGAGATGTGTTGTTCGTTTCCTGGTCGCCCAGGGCAGGTCGTGGTCGGTTACAGACCAAGCGCTTTCTGCTCCTCCTTGAGGCGGTCGCGCTTGGCCTTTGCGGCGGCCCTGTTCTCGGCCTGCATCTTGGAACGCTCCTCACGCAAACACTGGTTGACCTTGTCCTTGACGTCGTTGCAGCCGCCCACTGCCTTGTGCATGAATCCCTGGGCGTGACATTGCTCGAGAGCGGCGATGATTTCTTCGCATGCTAGGCGCACGTCAGCAGAGCCGCCGGGCGCCGGTCTAGACACAAGGGCAAGTAAAATTACCTAGTGCGTTCTTGGTGTGCAGGTGAGGATGCATCTTGGGTTGCGGAAGTTGATGCTCTGAGGATGTCTCGCTGCGCTGGATAGATCTTTACCGGAGCGCCGCAAAATCATCGGCACGGGAAGGGTTCAAAGGGTCGGATGGGAGAAAGCTCGGACCACCGCTGGGCGGTACCCACAGTGGTGGCGTTTAGTGGGCACAGTGTTGGATTTGGTGAGCTGCCCGCCTCGCCCGCCAAACTACAGGCAGCCAAAACGACGACATTCGAGGAGGCAGATTTAATTCGCCCCGTCAGCCTCCCCCGACTCGCGAATCGGCTGACCTCGCATCGCGTCACCGACAAAGGGGCAGCGGAACATCGCATCATGTCTTCAGAGCAGCAGGCGGCTCCTGCCAAGAAGCAGCAGGGTGCGTGCAACGGAGCTCACAAGCCTCACACTCGCTTCAGCACCACAGGGAGATCTCAGTAAACTGACTTCGGGCAGACCTTCAGGCTACATACTCCAACTACAAGAACACGCTGCAGCAAATAGCCCAGAAAATTGGTGACATTGAGCAGGAGGCTGAGGAGCACAAGTATGTTATTCCCATTTCCATCTCAGAGTCGCCCCCTCTGGTGTTTCGTGGATCGAGGGGTCTTCTCCTACCCCGTCCCGCACTCGGGCTTGCTTGTCCGAGTCTACGCTTCAAGGCCTTCCATAGCTCACATGATATCCTACACTAGGCTTGTCCTTGAGACGCTGGAGCCGCTTGCGGAGGACCGCAAGTGCTTTCGACTAATCAACGGTGTGCTGGTTGAGAGGACAGTCAAGGACGTTGTCCCGGCCCTCCAGACGAATCAAGATGGCCTGAAAAAGGTCTTGGACGACTTGGTGAAGCAGTACAAGACGAAACAGGATGAGCTGGACAAATGGAAGGTTTGTTCATTTCCGAGTCTCACTTCGTTCGATTCCCCCAGCTTGGACGCGGGCTGACGTCGACATCTGCAGAAGAAGAACAATGTTCAGGTAGTGCAACAATGAGCCGCAATATCTAGGGCGGCATCAGGAGAAGCAGTTGAGAATTCATATACCTGCCTCACCAATGCATTGCAGTATCACTGGTGATAAATGGACCCCTATCATTTCTGGCGCCAAACGGGACAGCTGCAGGCCTTGTGCCAAGACAAGGGCTCGCGCGCCGCATCGCTCTGCCTAATGGATGTGAGGTCATCATACCAAGTCATAGCTGCAACATCCCCTGCATTTGCAAAGCCAAGCACAAATCGGAATGCGAGGATACGGATACAGGTGAGAGACTTTCCACGACACCTAACATCGTTAAACCTGGCGCTGTGTCAGCTGGTATCAGTGCGTTGTACTTCGTGTGGTGTGGACGCAATGGAGCCCGGCGGCAAGGGCGCCTCGATGCCCAACAAACAGCAGCCGGTCCCCGATCCCGATTTTTTTTGCGATGTAGCACGCAGCAGCTCCGGGAGTCGGCAGTCCAATCTTCTGTTCCGTCTCTGCATGACGCCGACGTGGGATGGGACAGCTTCCATCATCAAGTATGGCCCTCATGTTACGCAGCTCATCAAAGCTCTACACTGGGAACCTCACAATTCTGCCACATTAATAAAGGAGTGAACATACCGCTGCCAGTTGCCGTGCTGGATTCCCTGGACGACAGGTACCGGCCCAACGACGCACGCACACACGCGTGGTGAGTGTGGAAGAGGGGTAAATAACACACCCCCAAATTGACAAGTCACGAACGCTTGACGCAAGCTGTTGCACGTATCCGGCGCAGCATCAATTGCCAACTTCCCGGCTTTCACTGCGCAATCCACTCGTGAGAATAACAATACTCCCTGGGCAGACACCCTGCTCCTGCGATTCGGAAAGACGAGACCTTGCCCGGATTCTGACCAGCTTAGCAACCAAAGGGGACAAATTTCACCGCCGGTTTCAGGCAGACTAGTTCCACGGCAGAGAGCGTGTTGATGGCGGCGGGAGGACACCATGTTAACTGTCTGCCTGTTCTATCAGCTGGAAGCGGAGTATGTAGGCCCAATGTCTGACACCGACGCCGTTAATCAGCTCACCCTCATGCCGTACCTTCTACCCGCAATGCACCAGGCCATGTGGAATGACGAATTGGCGTTGCGGCAGTCCACGTTCATGCATGAGAGGCTGCACATAAGTATCCGCAGGTCTTTCCGTGGCCGGGGCTAAAGTGGTTGCAATAGCCAGGGTGGCTGACTGAGTACTGGGCTAGACCAACAATTCTGTTGCATCACGGTCACCGTTCTGTCAGCGTTGGCGAGGGGTGCCCGGTGACAGACACACCTCATGTTGGAAGATGGCCGCTATGGGATGGGGTCACAATTGCATCCCAGGGAACCGTGGAGCTGAAGACGCATCTTGATCAGATGGGTTTGGCCAGCTGGAGCCGAGCTACGCTCACGACAAGTTCGTTTACCAGCGCTTCAGCGCCCAGTCAGCTCGCGAACCAGCGGCAGCCTACGCCGGCCGGCACCCGTTCCCTGTCCGTTCCCTACCCGTCCCGAGACTACTCCGTGTACCCAGCGAGACGGACGCATCTACCCACGCCGCTGTGTGAGGACAAGTGGCCGTGATGCTGGAATGTCCGCGGCCAGGGTGGTAGATGCAAGCAGATTTCAGGCTACGTCATCACCGCTACAGAGGCGAGCGGGTTTCGTCTCGAACGAGTACCCTGTACATCTCGGATGAGCAGGACCTGGGAAGACTCTCCGCCCCAAGGCACTGAACCTGGGTCTACGTAGACCCAAAATGATAATCGGACCTGCGGGGAATTGGGTGTATCTCTGTCCGGCGACGCGACAAGAGATGACGACGGCTGCAGTTTATTCCTAGAAGCAAATTGGTTACACAGTAAGACGCGGCCGCTAACAAGCTTCTCTAGCATTCTCTTTATGCGTTATGGCTCGTTTAGGCCCCGGTGAGCGGTTGGATGGGAGTTCCGGGTTTCTGGCTCATCTTCTTTCGTGGAGACCTTTCCTGCCCAACGACAAAGCTGCCGCTCGCCTGTGATTCTTGGACGTTGTTCACCGCCATCCAAGCCGGTGGCGAAGAATCTTCTCGCAAATAGGAAACAGACAGAGACTAGACTGGACGCTGGCAGCGAGAAGCAGGGGGGCGCTGCCATGTTTGCCCCTGCTGAGCCCAGAAGAGGCGCTGCCAGGGCGGGAAGGAGGAGCTTTGACGAGTTCTCAGATAGTTTCTGAAGCTTGCGGCGCTATGCGGAGATGCATGGCTAACCAGTGCCATGCAGTAGCTGCTCGTGGCACACCGCCTGGATGCGCCAGAGGGCGCGTCAAATGGAGTTGGCGGGGCGCCATGGCATCGAACCCCTGCAGCTTAACAGCGGCTGAGGAACGATACGAGGGGCGAGGTCTGTCGAGGGGTGCATTTGGATGATTGGGCTGGGAGGAAGCCGAGATGGTGAAGGTCCCAGCAGGTAGTATGCTTGTACGTAGTCTGTAGGTAGGTAGGTTCGTAAAGGACGGGAAGCCCCAGACGCTGAAGCGTCCACCACCAACAGACCACGGCGCTGGATGCGGGAATCTCTCGGCCGCAAAGGGTTTAGCCTGCTGGACCACCCTGAGCCCCAGGACGGACGACGGGCCTGAGTGCCCGAGCGCGCGGCGGGTGCAGGGCCGTTGAAGGTCAAGGTACCTACGTAGTGGCTTATCGATAAGCGCAAAGCTGGGTCGGGCTGACAAAACAGCCCACCCATTGCTTTTTTGGGGCAGCGGCTGGCTTGCATGGGCGGCTTTTGTTGTGTTTTGGGTGCTGCTAGCGTTGTTGACTGCAAGCTGCAGCCCTCTGAAGCCCAAGCAACCTGAAGCTAACGTGAGGTGAGGTGGGTATTAGCCTCACCTCCTCGCCGTCAAGCGTCAGCCTTCCTCTTCCCTCCTGCAAAATAACCCCACGTCTACCTCATCCAATCCACCTCACCCGCCCAGCCATCCATCGTCGTGCGCTGCGACCCGACCCATGCACCACCTGCTGCTGCTGGTGCCGCCCCGAACGAACGCCGCCGATACGCTCGCTTGCTGAGATCCAGCAGGCCGTGAGACGGAAACCCGATTGCGACGCACGTACGTATCAGTTTTCAGTTCCCCGATCCTTAGTCGAACCCAAGCACACGCATGCGCTGCGCTGCGCGGCTGCATTGGTTGGCGACGCAGCTCCCGGCGCGCATCCAAGGCTTTTCCAAGGCGTGAGCCACAGACACAAGAAAGAAGCAGCACCGATGCGCCTCTGTGTAACATCACATCCGCCGTCGCAATCCGTCGTCGCGACGCCTTGTCTTGTCTCTGGCGCTCCAGCCCGCTCTCCTCCTCGTCTGCCTGCCCGCCTGCCCGCCTGCCCGCCGTGCCGCACCCGCCGTCCCTGTCGCGGCCCAGGTCCCCCGTGTCCCCCTTCCTTGCCATCCCTCCCCCCCTTCCTCCCCGAACGCACGCCCCCCACCAGTCGCGCGGACGGCGCATGCGTACAGTCGTTGGACCAAGGCCGGTTGGCTGACTGGCCCTTCGGCCTCGCAGACAGCAGAACGAACGGCTTAGTTGTTTGCAACGTACGTGCTGTGCTTCTGTCACCGCGGTCACCGCTCCGCACACCGTATACGCACCGTCGGCACGCACACACGCTCACCCAACGAACGGATGCTGACGCCTGGATGTAGGCAGTAGTAGAAGCTTCGCCGCTGCCTCGTTGGTGGTCGCTCGCTCGCACGCCTGCTTGCTTTGCTCGCTTGATCCGTTGCAGGCCCAATCCCGAGTCAAGCACCCCCTCCTCACCCCTCCGGGCCGGGCATCTGTCTCCCAACCCACCCACCAAGTCCGGGCCGTTGACCCCCAGGCCCTGGTGCCCCATATCCGCCCAAAGACATCACGTCACCGGGTCGAGCCCAGTTCACCGTCTTGACAAGACGCTGCCCCGAGACCTCGGGCCAGGGACCAGCCAACGTGCGTTTACCTGCCTGGCTCGCGATCCATCGCCTGCCGTCACGATTGACGCAGCTCCTGCATCCCGGCATCTGGAACATCCCACACCCCCCGGGGTCGGATACTTGCAAGCCCTACCTTACCCTCTTTGCGACGTGGCCAGGGGGACACATCATCACCAGCCCGGTTGTGACAGCCCGAAGCAGTCTTGCCATCTCCCACACGGACGGACGCTAGCACCCGCTGCAGGTAGCCAAATATGTCCGATTCCCCCCAATCTCCTCCCAAGGACGTCGACCATGGCGCACAATCACCAGACGAGGAAGGACAAATGAACGAGAATCAAGACCCACAGTCGGCCAATCTGGCGAGCTATGAGTTCGAGGGCGTTAAAGAACAGGATCGGTGGCTGCCCATAGCCAATGGTAAGTCCTCGTCCCCTTTTGAGCCAAGTCGTGATTTGTTCGTCCCGACTGGCCTTTCGTCCCATCGCCCTAGCCTCGCATATCGCCCATCATGGCCCACGATTCGCCCGCGAATCCGGCCGACACACCCCGCGACCCAAAAGCCGACCGGGCCGACGAACTAGATGCTAACATACGCAATTTTGCACCAGTCGCCCGAATTATGAAGAATGCCCTTCCGGACAATGCCAAGATAGCGAAGGAGGCCAAGGAGTGCATGCAGGAGTGCGTGAGTGAGTTCATCTCGTTCATCACGAGCGAAGGTACGTCGCCTCTCCGGATTCCTATACATATTCAGCCCGGCAATGTCTGATCGCAAGCGACCATTCAGCCTCGGAAAAGTGCCAGCAGGAGAAGCGAAAGACCGTCAACGGCGAAGATATTCTGTTCGCGATGACGTCGCTCGGCTTTGAGAACTACGCCGAAGCGCTCAAGGTTTACCTCTCCAAGTACCGCGAAGTAAGTCGTCTCCGACCCTGCCATACCGAGTTCGTCACTCACACCTCGAGTAGCAACAGAACCAGTCCAACAGAGAGCGTGTCATGGAAAACTCGTGGGGTGGCTCGATGATGCCCGGCGAGAAGGGTGAGCCATCAGCCGCCGGCGCGGAGTATGGAACTGCGGAGGGCGCTGCTGGCGCGGACGGCAGTGCGGACCCCAACTACATGTACGGCTCGCATCCCGCCCACAACGGCGCCGGCGCTGCTGAGGGGTACTAAGTGTAATGGGACTCCTTCCGCGCTTGAGGCGGTCGTTTCGACAGCTGCGCAACCGAGGCGGCCCGTTTGCCCGGCCGACCTGTGTCTTGGTGCCAGACCTCGACCGGCGACTCTGCCGCAAGTGGTGGACGCGGGTGTGTACGGTTTCTTTTGTCTCCAATGTACGATTATAGGCGGTGCCTATGATACCGTGCCCCGATGTATCGGAAAGGGATATGCTACGGCAGACGGAGAGTATCTCTGCTGGCGGGCAGGTTTTCTTGGGACGTGAGTAGTCCTCGAAGGGACCGGCATCGTGCTGTGGCCGGCGACCGGTTTTCCCTGAAAGATAGATTCTTCACTGATCTCTTTGGCCGTGGCGGTGGGCTCTGGAGTAGTCCTGAGCGGCGCTTTTGCTCCACAGATTTGCCGGCCGCGGAACGAGGCCTGCGGATGCCAGTTTCCAGATCAAATACCAGGAATTGCTTCTTCAATTACGCATCGAGGTGAGCGGATACCATCGGTAGTTGCTCCAATATCTCAGCACACGCTTGAATATCTCCGCGAAAACGAAGGATGTGGCCGCTGTGCTTGCGTGCGCGGCAACGGGGGCAAGTGAAACATGCGCCGTGTGTAGTGGAGGCGAGACATCTTCCTAGGGAGGCTGACATTCTAAGATTGAGCCACAGAGTGCAACAAATGTCCGATGTGCGACAATGCTCCCGCGTCTGTGTCATGGGCACACACGTACTGTACGAGCGTTGTAGAGCTCCTGTCATCTCGGAGCAGAACCATGACGAGGTGCGAGCTACGAAGTACGAAGTACATGGCGCGCCGCCCCACATTACCTCGTCGGTGGTGCAGCGTCGAGAGTGCAGAGACGGCTGGTGGGCACGTGCCAGGCCCCACTCCGAGTCCCCTCAAAAAAACCTTCCCAGTCCATCGAAAATGTCAGCCCGGCACCCTGCATCGTCACCGTTTGTTTTGCCCTTGCACCACCCTCCGCCTCCAGGCTGCCATCGTCAACCTCATCGAAACTGCCCTGCCGTTTTATTCGCGACACTTTCAGGGCGGATCTCATGACTCACCAGATCATGACCACCATCCTGCTCTACGCACCCTCGCTGCAGATTGCTCATTCCAACCGCAGCGCTTAGGCAGCGCCCGCCGGATCGTCATCATTGGTCGACAATCTAGGCGCCAAAGCTGCCGCAAAACAGGCGTCGTCGATGCGACCGTTCGAACCACAGGCGAGGGCCCTTGCGAGCCCTGCCCTTAAAAGCTCGACCCCGGTCAAGTCTATACTGAAGCCGGCCTCTGTGCTGGGCAGGAGAAAAGAACTGCACGATGCTTCTGTCGATTCGCCGGAGCCGTTAGACAATCCCACCAAGCGTCGCAAAGTATTCTTCGACGACATAAAGAACGTTACCTACGAAGTTGGCCGGAGGACGATGGACGACGTCAAGGTGGAAGTGCGGTCGGCACTTGAGGAGCACCTCCGGGGCAACGATGGCCAGTACGACATGCTCAAGGAGCTCTTCGCAAACGACAAGCAGAGATACCTGCCGCCAGTCGTTGGCGAAGAGGATGACACATTGAAGCCGCACGAGCTGCAGGTATATGTCATGGCGCTGACCAGCTGTGTCCCTATCCTGAAAGGCAAGGAATGCAATGGCCTCGTCAAGACTATCCTGCAGTGTTCGTGGCTGGGTCGCGACGCCGCCTTCACCAAGGTTTTCACCCACTTCCTGGCTGCGTTGGTTAGCGCCCAAGGCTCCTACCTCGTGCCCGTCCTGTCAACCATGGTTGAGAAGTTCCGCGATACCAGTTCATCGGCCTGGTCAGTCCCCGACTTCCCCGAGGTCAGTCGGGAGACGATGCGCGAACGTCTGCACTCGAGCATCCGATACCTTTTACAAATGTTCCCGTCAGCAGCGGCAGTACTGGAGAACCTACTGAGCGCCAAGTTTCCATTTCCCGACGAGTCGGTGCGGATACACATGGCATACATTCATAACTTACTCCACGTCAAGGACTATGTGCCGGACCTTCGGGACGAAATACTAGACCTCATTCTCAATCGAGTTGTCAAGATCGATTCGCAGATGCAGGTAGATCTGGAGGACCTCGACGACGACGTCACCGCCGCCGTTATGTACGCGCTGCGGGAGAACCAACAACGAATGTCAACCTTGGAAGACGACGATTCGGACGATAGCGACAATGAATCGGTGGATAGTGACGACCTGGACTACGACCAAGAGGCGGCCAGGATCAAAACTGTCAAGGAAAGCGTTGAGAAGATGGATGCAGTGCTGGACACTCTTTTTGGCTTATTCGCGCCGCATTTCCTGAACCCAGGATCCGACAAGGCTTTCGACATGTTCACCATTATCCTGCGCGAGTTCGACCACATTGTCTTACCGACTTACAAGTCGAGACACACGCAATTCCTCATTTTCCACTTTGCGCAACAACACGAGCGGCTCACGGACGCATTTTGTGGCCAACTAATCGCGACGGCCTTCCAAGGCAATACCCCAAATGTGCTGAAGCAAGCCGCCGCAGCCTACCTGGCGAGTTTCGTTGCCAGGGGCGCGCACGTACCCGGGAGCCTGGTGCGGACCATGTTTATGCTCCTCCTTCATCACCTCGAGCAGTATCGGAAGAAGTATGAGCCTCTCTGCCGAGGTCCGGATCTAAAGCGGTTCCATCCTTACTACTCTCTCGTGCAAGCGACCCTCTACATCTTTTGCTTTCGCTGGCAAGACCTGGTAGTGTCCGCGCCGGAGGTGGTTGACCCCGAGGACCCGGCGTCGTACATTGGGCAGGACTTGGAGTGGGTGGGATCCTCGCGAAAGGACCTGTCTATCCAGATCTTTGGCAAGCTGAACCCGCTCAAAGTGTGCGCCCCGGTCATTGTGGAGGAGTTCGCCAAGCTTGCGCACCGGCTCAACTTCATGTACATCTACCCCTTGGTGGAGAGCAACAAGCGTGTCCGACTTTCGCAATACCTTTCGGCCACGTACGCTACGGGCGGCGCGTTGCGGGACTCGGGGTATGAAGCGCAAGGGGAAAGCTTCCACCAGTTGGATCCGTACTTCCCGTTCGACCCGTACCAATTGCCCATCAGCAAGCGATGGTTGGTTGACGACTACGTGCATTGGAAGTCGGTGCCCGGGTTGAACGCAGACGACGACGACGACAGCGACGAGATGGATGACGATGAAGATGGCGATATTGAAGAGGGCACGGCGACGGATAGTGAAGTCGATGATTTCGAGTGAGGGGTGCGAAGAGGGCGTGACAGTGTGTGCAGACGTTTTGTCTGGGTTCATTATGGGCCATGGCTGCAGGACTATATATACGGGAGTGCATTTAGCGAGGAGTTGGAGACGGGGAAACCCCACAAACGCGGCTGATTTGTTGTACATACATAGCGGGCAACGTTTAGCCGTGCATTTGACCTGCTTTTTCATCATGAGCCTTCCCAGTACCTCAGGCAGTGATCCCGTTATAGCAGAAGGGTCCTCAGCCCGCGCGCTCCCCACCGCGATAGCTCGCCGAGCCAGCGGGCCCTGTAAGCGAGTGAGACGGAGAATTTATGCTTCAGGCTGTTGTTCCATCAATCAGCTCCGCGACTTGGCTTGTCCAGCAGGGCGGAAAAAAAGCCACACTTCCGTGTTCGGCGACTACTGTGGCTCTGCTGCCCGGCGACGCGGGAGCCTCTGCGAAATAATGGCAGCATCGCGCCCCGTCCCAGGCCTCTCTCCAGTCGAGGTCAGCTCGGTTTCGTCGACACATGCGCAACCATACTCTTGCCTGTCGCATCATACAACGAGAGCTACTTGGCAAGCGCAAGCGCAAGCGAAGACGACCAACTTACTTGCATACCGCGCTGTCGCTGTCACAGGCACCTGTGCGCCACACTTGTACAAACCTCGATAATAGCGACAAGTTGCGTGTAAGCGACGGATCGTGCCACTCACTCTCAGACCGACATCTCAGCCGCCCAGCATGACGCCGCCCGAAGACGAAGCAGCCGCAGGGCATGCGTCGTATCTTGGCTTTAAGAGGACCAGCAAGGGACAGTCGAGAGGAAGGCATGGCACGGAGCCGACGCCGCCGCCCGAAAGCCGTGAGTTCCAGTCCCTGTGATTGACTTCGTATGGTTTCCGCGTCGTTTCTCGCTGGGCGGCGACGCCGAGCGCATGGCGGTGGCGTCCAAGTTGCACAGTTGCTGGCGCCGCCGCCGCCCGGTGCTTTGGTGCTTTTTGGTGCTGCACACTTGCTGCAGCACCGTTGAGCCCGCGCCGTTTTCCCCCACCACTACAAATGGTGATTTGAGTTGGCGGGCGTGTGATTTGTCACAGTGAGGCCGGGCGACAAGGAATGATTCCATCCCCATGCCCCTTGCTGCCACGCACGCGAGTCTTTCGATCTTCAAGTCTGTGGATCGCCTCTCGGACATGCCGTCGTCGTCTCCTGCCCTCGGGCTGGACTGACATCACCTCTGCCCCTGTCACTCGCCCGCCTCCCCCCATCGTCGCCGAGCCTCTTTGTAACTACTATCTCCTTCCTCATCGAAACACCTTGATGCATCTTCTCCCATCTCGCGACTGCCGTCATCTGCCGCCAGCATGCCTCCCGCGAAGAAAGCTAAGTCGCGTACAGCAGCATCGGCAGCGCCCGCGAGCGGTGGTGAAAAGTCCGAGGGCGACAAGCCGGACAAGGCGAAGCCCAAGACCGACAAGGAGAAGGCCCTGCTACGCCGCCAGCAGGTCCGCCGCGCGCAAATCGAGCACCGCCAGCGCAAGGCAAACTACGTCAAGCAGCTGGAGCTCGACGTCTCGCAGCTGAGAGACCTGGTCGCCCTGGAGGAACACGACGGCAAGGTCCTGCACAGGGAGAATGAGGAGATCATCGCCATCCTCAGGTTAAACGGCGTCGGCCGGCCATCGGGGGTGCAACAGCCTGCGCATCATGCCCAGCAGCCTCCATTCATCATGAGGCCAGAAGGAGCTGGACCGGTGCCGGGCCAAGGACCGGTTGAGCCAATCGATCCGATGATGCTCGACCCCTCTGCGCCTGGAAGCTATGCGGCATCGTCGGTCCCTGACGCGGCCGCATCGCCCGAGATGTTCAGCGGCATCGACTTGGACGACTGGACGGTCACGCTGAGCGTCGACAGATCGCTGGGAACGCCATGCTTCCACGTCAGCTCAGGCTCCTCGGGCGACGGCAGCGTCGCCAGCGCACTCACGCCGCCCAAATCAGCGACGGGCGAGGCGCAACTTACACCAGCACAGGAGCAACGCGCTATCAACTTCATTCTTGCGTATGTGTTGCGGAAGCTCAGGTCCCAACCCCTCCAAAACTCCTCGCCCCCCCTTCTTGCTCTCAGTGCCCGACAGGGCCCCATGCTAACGTCCTACCACAGCCTCGAGCACGTTTGCTGGAACCACTTCCGCCTCGGTGACTTCCCATGCCACGACCACTCAGAAGAGTGCGAGGAGGACAACGGCCACACGCTCATGGCCTCGGCCTACTGCATGGCCTCGGCCCCGGAGTCCATCTACGCCGACAGCCAACCCCTTGCGCGCGACTACCCCAAGAACAAACCCGCTTCCGCAGCGCCGACGACGGCCCCGTCATCACCGCCGCCCAGCTTCTCCTGGCCCGCCGTTGGCATCACCCTCGACTCTCTCCATGGGCTGGCCCAGTCCCTCAACCCCGGGGACCAGGAGATTGCGCCGGTGCAGGCTTGGTTCGAGCTTGCGAGCCGATATCCGGTCGACATGCTCCTTGACGCCACCACACTCGATGCTCTCCAATGCGAGTTTAAGAACGTGGTGCGGTGCGTGTCGTTTGGCGCAGCAATCGAGCGTATGGCCTTTGAGAGCGTGCTCGCCAAGGTTCTCGGTCCATCTGACCAGTCGCTGAATGTACCAGTGTGAAGATGTCTTATAATTTTGGAGGAGTCAAGGAGGCGTATTATGGAATTCTTACCCAGGAAGCGGTTGGCGTTGTGGCTGTGATTCAAGGCGCTTGAACTGGAAATATCCACCACAGCAGTGATGGTGGGCAATCATTTCGATATTTGAGTCCCTACCAAACAAGGCAGCTTCCTGTCTTCGTTTTACACATGAGAATGTGTGGAAATTGTCGCTCGAAAGTGACCTAAACACCAAATCCTCGTCATGTCTATGATACTGGCATCTTGCAACCGTCCGCCACATCATGCCCCAAGAAGCAAGAACAGCGTCCCAACCGTCATCATACTCTTACAGAGCTCTAACCATTGTTCGCTCATCGAAAATATCCTTCAATAGATCTTGGACACAGCTTGCCATGTCTACTGCGCTCATAGCATACGTGCTCTCAAACGCAAAGATGCTCAGCTGGCCGAAGAAGGGTCTCAAGACCTTTGCAACGAGCTCATCTCTGCGCTCGAAGCTGGCTTGGTCACCCAGGCCCGCCGAACCTAGGAGCGGCCGCCTGTGGGAACTGCTAGCCGCCAGGTGGGCTGCCGTATCCGTCTGTGCGGAGCCTTGAGCCCCGGAACTCCCGAGCTCCTCAGACAGTTCGTCTGCAAGTGCAATAGGCTGATATGTTGACGGCGGATAGACAGCATCAATGGTATCGGTGACAAAAAGCCATTCATGCAGCTGAAAATCATCCGGCGCCACGCAGATGAGCAGATCCAGGAGCTTGCAGGCTTGAAAGATGGCAGTGTTGACATATATGTCTGACGCGGTGCTGTGATCAGGCGCCACCACCGACGAAATCGCGGCGTGCATCTCGGCGTTTACGACCGGCCAGAGTAGAGCGAGGTGAACAGGGCTCGTTTTCAGAACCAGTGCGCGAACGACCATGAAGACGTCGGCTCTGGTTGTTGAAGAAGGCGACGACGTTGCCGTAGCGGCCATCAGCTCGACAAGCTTGTCGAATATTGTTCCGAGATCAGTAACAAACGCATCTTCAGCGGAAGCGAGGATAAGGGTGGCGATCCTCCGTAAGTTTAGTTGAGTTTTGCGGTCAGCTTCGAGCCTGGCGGATGTGGCTCCTACGCCGAACACTATACCGGCAGTGGTTGGCGCGCTGATGCGGCTGGTGATCTCGGGCATCTTCTCCTTGTCTGTAAGTATCCATTGCCTAAGCAGGGGAAGCCAGTCGTCGGTGACCAAGTCGAGTCTCATGCCGAAAAATCGAGGGTCGTTGAAAGCATCGCCGACATCTTTTTTCCACGCCTTTTGGTTGTTTTGCAGCCGAGAAAGCTCGCGGAGCAGCGTCATGGTGCTTGAAGAGACCGTGTCTGGAAACGATTTGGAACGCAATGTCGGCCCTACAACGTTCGTAGATATCGTACTTGCAGCGGCAAGCACCCGATCGTACTCCACCAAGATCTTTGGCAGATTTGGTGCAACAGACGCGAGGACTGCTACCACGCCTTCTGGACCGTCGCTATTCGGGGCTCGCTTGTGGCCCCCATCCCGCCCAGCTTTCTCTGGCGTGCCGTTAGAATGCGTTGGTTCGGAGAAGGTAATGGGGCGCGTAGTGAAGAGCGCGGCAAGGAGCCGGAGGAATAGGTCCTAGTGCACGTCAGTCAAGGTCAAACAAATAAACGTGTGCGGACGCCACGTACGCCCAGCTCCCGACGCATTCGTCGCTGCTCTCCAAAGGTCGTGTTATCCACCTTCTCACCCAGGATCGCGGCAAACTCGAGCAAACTGGGCAGTGTTTGCCGATGAGGGAAGGGATTGCCGAGTAGGTCCTTGAGGAATGTCATGCAGTCCTGCCAAATCTCGTCCATAGCATCGTCGTCAAGTGAGCGAGCATATTCGACAAGGAAGGCAACAAGATCCGAATCTTGCAACGAAATGGTCATGGTGGACTTGCGCGAAGGCTCCAAGGCCCCTGGATTGGTTCGGCTGTAGATGGAATTGAAGAGGGCCGGAATGGAGTGTCGCGGGCGGCAGGCGTCCAAAGCTGATAGGAAACTGAATACCAACGCTCGCTCACCAGTCGACTCGGCTGACGTCCAAATATCAATAACTGTCTCCAAGCACTCCAACGTCTCCGCGGCGAACAAGTGCTCGAGCAGACGCCTTGCTCGGTTCCTCATGCGCAATGAGGTATATGTGAAAGATGCTGCCGAGACCTGATCCTGTGTTTTGGCTTCATCTCCCTCGCCCCATGACCAGATTCTGAAGCATATCCGCATTGCGTCTTGAAAAGCCAGGTGCACTGTCAGACGATCGTTTGCCGTCGCACTTCTCGCCTGAGGACCATCGGACTGGAAGACACCAGACACCATGCTGCCAAAGAGAGACTGTGGTTGTTCTGGCCCTTTGACGATCTGCGCCCGAGATTCTGCGGCAAGCAGCTGGTCGTGGGCGAGGGCCAAGACTTGCTCTAACCCATTCAGCAAGTATATCAGGGTTGCTTCTGGAGCGCTCTCATTCAGACTTTCTCCTTGCGGTTCTGTCTTGAACATATTTCGTAGGCTGGCAAACACTTGGCCGATCTGTCGGCAAAGCGTTTCCACCAGCGGGATAAGGGCCTGGAATATGGACTGGGAGTAGAACGGCAAACAGTCAGCCAAGAATGCGACCCAGCTATCCAGCACTGCGTGACTGCTCGCCGCACTAAGGCCAGCCTGCAGGCACTTGAGTAGTTGGGGTGGCATTGGAGGCGCAATAGGTCGGCTCTCGCTCATGGAGATCGACTGTCGACTTGGGCGGGGTCGATCCAAACTCGGGGGCGTCTTTTCTAACATCGGCGAAGTTGGTATCTCCGCTGGTGCCATGTCCTGAAGTTTGAGGACGTCGTAAATGACGTCTAGAAGCAAGACCTGGACATACGGATCCGACTCGCCTATAGACTTCAAGAGCCTGTCAATAAGGATGCCGTCGAGCTGGAGACCGCTCAAAGAGGTAGCATATCGGCTCGACAGGAACTGGTGAAGAATCGCCAGGGCGTAGCGGTGAAGTTGAGACACGCGGTCCACCAGCTCGACGCTGGAACGGTTGGCAACATCTGCTGTAATGCATTGCAGGCAAACACGGACGAGATATTCTTGAAGCGTCATCTCGTTGTCCTCGGCGCCAGCTGAGAATTGTCAGTAGCATGCTCCAATTCTAGAAAAGGAGGGATAACATACCTCGTAAGTGAACCTCCCCTCCGCCGAAGTACAGATACTTCGAAGCAAGAACGGCTCGCGTCACTTCGCCGGTACACCGCAACACGTGTTGCAGCGATCGGAGATAGTAGAGGCATAGCTCGATGTCGTCGTTCTCATTGAAAACAACGTTGCCAATTGTGGCCTTCTCACCAGCTCCATGATCGTTGACAGATGCGATAAATGGCAACTCGGAGATCTTGGTCACGAAAAGCAGAAATAGCCTTTGAACTGTTAGCAAGCGACTAAAAATGAGAGTGGCACGAAGCTTTAGTCACCTGTCTATGCCAACCATGGTATTGAGCCATGACTTTACGACCATGTACAACTGCGTTCTGTCGTCGATTAGGGCATCCAGGACCAGAAATAAAGGCTGAGCCAACATGACCTGGTAGTGGTCCATGCCGGCAAGGCGGGAAAGCGGACGGTAATCCTGCAACTGCGTACGCGAGCCACGTCGATCGGATGCCGAGTCTTGAAGCGTGTGCGACCAGAGAACACCAAATGTTCGCGCAGCCTCCGCGGCGCAGCTGACTGGTTGGTGAGCGAGGAGTAGGCGGTCGACTAGTACCGCTGATAGAGACGCCTCGATATCACGGGCAGATGGTGTCAATGATGTCTGCAGTTGCCACAGACAGCGGACAGTCTCAACGTGGTACTTTGGGTCCGACGCGGAGAGGTAATGCCAAGCATGACGAACCAAGGGTGCCACCAGCCCCGATAAATGCTCTGCAGCGATTCTATCGTTTGAGTGCAGCTGCGTAGCCAGTTGGACAACCGAGGAGAAGTAGGAGAAATGCAACGCTTCCTCTTGCATAAGTTTTCCCTTCAGGTGGGATAGGAGGTCAGTAGCGCCAAAGGTGTAGGTTGTCGGCGTCTTGAGAAGAACCAAGATGAGTATCCGAACCCGTATGCTCAGGTCTGGCGTCGACTCGTGCTCCGTGGCTTCGTTGCAGATGAAGCTGACAGCTTTTTGAAGGAGCAGTTCTCCTGACTCGACGGCATTAAACGGAATGGCTGCGCCTTCGAGGTTCCCCTGACCATGGACATAGAAGGCCTGGATTCTTTTCAGGATTTCAGTGTTCGGTAGCAAGGGCGCATCCTGTCCCTTGGTCTTGTTGCCCACTGCGACGTCCAAAACGCTCGGGAACGCTCGCTCTGGCACCAGCTCCAGCAAAGCGGCGACGACGCCCAGGACGTCTTCAGACAGCTTGTCCAGCTGGTCTTCCACGAGTCCAAGCCTGGCTTTGCGCCCTTTGGAGTCCTCCAACATGGCAAGTGCTGCGACGCACGTCAGAGGCGCATGTATGGTGATCATCTCCTCTTCCCTCACATTGAAGTTGGTGATGATGAAGTTGACCAAAGATACCTTATCCCGCCGTTCAGCCAGGCTGAGGCTCCCTGGTCCGATCGCTTGGGCCAGCAAGCCGACTAGTTCACTGTAGATCAGGCCACTCTCAATGCCGTCAAAGAAGACGCTGGCGCTTCGTAGCACCTCCGAAAACTCGGATTTTGAGGGGGCGTGGTCCTGAAATTGCCGAACACTCTCAACAACAGGCAAGAAGACCTCGGGAACAATGAGACCTCCTATTTCCCATCGGTCCATGAGAGATAGGCAGATTCTATACGGCCGAGCCCTCTCTACCGCATTGCCGTGGATCGAACCGCTGATCATGTGAAGCAGAGCCTTTGTCAGCGGCTGCAATCCAAAATCTTCGAAATAGGTCGTCCTTGATGACAGGAATGCCTGCTGTTGGTCGGAGGGCGCCGTTGACAGATCACCCGTGGGATCTCCATCACTGCTGACGGGTTCAGGCCCCAGAAGCCATGTCCAGAGGCGACGATTTAAGCTCATGTCGCGTCTCGTCACCACACCAGCCGCTGCTTTTACAAGGAGCTCCAGGTCGGCTGGCTTCACACGCGACTGCAAGACTGTGGAATTGAGTGGCAGGTGAGACACCAAAAGGTCCAGGAAGCCTCGCTGGATGAGCAGCTGATCGTCGGCCAAGCCGGTTGCAAAGCAGCGAACTAGCAGTCCGGGCTCAGGTGTCGTCACGAGAGCTGAAATCTTCGGGCTTTCGTCATGCGTCGCGGGCGGCGAACCAGCTTCCCTGCCTTTTGCGGCCGACGACCGACCCAAAGCAGGCAGAAACCGCACGAGATACGCCAGTGCGCCTCCACGGCGGCTTTGGCTCGTAATGGAGGCGAGGAAGAAGCACTGCCAGAAGAAATCGTCACTGGAGGAGTGGTGCGTTGAGAGCAACTCGCTGTCCTCGGGGCGGAGTGCCTTCTTGAAGCTGGCAACAAGAGTCAATGTTCGGTCAAAGTCTTCGCTCGTCTCGTCCTCCAGCCCTGGTAGCAGCGCTAATATTATGGACTTCATGGCCGGCCGTAGGGATCGTGGGTCGATCTGAAGAAAGTAGGCCTCCAGCAGGTCGAGGAACGGCGATCGAACGGACAGGGAGGCGAAGGAGAGTGTCGGTGCAAGCCCTGGAAGATACAGGGGAAGGTCGCGGGAGAGCCCATCTTTTCCTATCGTCGCGAAGATGTAGTTGTACACCTCGAGAGCCTTCTGATGAACACCTGACGGTAGTGAAGGGTTGAGACATTGGGAGAGTCGTTTTGCGACCGTCGCCTTGAGCGGTATCGCTGTTACCGAGGAGGGGCGAGCTTGCAGTGCCTAAGGTTACTTCTTTAGAACAACTGATCGCATCTCGCACGGTTAGCTGGCCGCAGACGAACCTTGAGCAACCTGTTCAAGAACGATATGTAGTCCGCCCACTCTTCCAAGGCCGTCTCGAACAGTGACAGCGCTTTTTCGACTCCCGATGCGTACCGACGGTATGCTTTGTCTTTGATCTGGGATTCTTCTGCCACAAGACAGTCAGCATTTGCGCTCGGGCAAGCTGGCGCGTGGGTGCAAACCTCCGCCGAGCTGATTCCTCCACTGTCGAGGGATAGGAGAGTTTCGCCCCGAGCTCTCGGGCGACCCCCCTAAAGCGCCGGATCCCGGCTCAAGCGCCATAGCTGCGGCTGCCGAGAACCATACGCGATTTCTGGGTCGAACTGGTTCTGGTCTGTGGTCGAGGGTGCATGCTCAGCCGGGAGATGCGGGCGTCGTCGCGACTGCTTATCGAGGAAGCATGGAGCTCTCCGGACCTCGACGATAAGGCTACGTTTCAGTGGATGCATGTACTGCGAGCACAGCACGCACGTCGGCTGTGCCCCGTACCTTTTGCTCGTCCTTTGGCGCGTACTATTGGCGGCTGGGGCACTCACCGCGCTCGCTAGTGGGGCTGTCACGCAAGGCTGGCTGGGTGCCTCGTGGACGGAATTAAAAACGTCGGCGACGCTGGAAGGTTGGCTGCCCCTCCACTCCAGCCTGCTCCACAGCATTGGATCCATTCCAACCAAGCTCCAGTGAGTCTTCGTCATGCAAGCGTGCCGCTGCACCTCACCCTCTGTCATGACGGGCGGACCTGGGATCAACTGCGATGCACCACATACCAGGGCCAATGTCTGCCTCTGTCTCCTCAATATCGCCATCTGAGAGGACCATGTCAAGCTGAGATGCCACAACAGCCGTGCGATCCGCGACCATGGGACAGGAGACGGGATCTCCCGACCGCGAGCAGCCGCCCCCGCTGCCTCCTCGGAGAGCAGCCTCAAGCTCGGCGGATGCAAGGAGCCTGCAGGCACAGGCTACAACTGCGATAACCCCGGTGGACATCCAGACTCTGTCCTTTCCAGACGGCTCACGCGGGACGTTCTCGACTCCAGGGCCTAGATCGGTGTCCACGCCAATCGGCGCCGGCAGTGGACAAGTGTCGCCCAGTCACAAAGGCAGCGGCTCCGCTGGCGAAGGAGCCGATGATGGTGCTAGCATCTCGAGCTTTGCGCCGACGATGCGCCCCGCTGGCGACATTGCGAGCCTACTTGCAGGAGATTTTCATCGGAAAAGCCCCGCTTGGAACCTACTACAATCACAGTCCGCAGCCATACAACCGTTTGACCGTGGCAGGCGAGGAGCGCAAGACCGCCTCGCAGAGTTTCACAACGAGACAGAGCCGTTACCGGATGAGACAAACGAAGAATACAAGGACGAAGAGAGGCTTGCCATTTGGAAGGGGAAACTCAAACATTACATGATTTTGTCCTCCGCGGGCAAGCCAATCTGGAGCCGCCACGGCGATCTCAACCTCATCAACTCCTCCATTGGAGTGGTACAGACAATAATATCCTTTTATGAAGGCTCGAAAAATCCACTACACGGATTCACTGCCGGCAACGCCAGGTTCGTCATCTCGATCCAGGGTCCGCTGTACTTTGTTGCCATCAGCAAGCTCGGGGAGAGCGATGCGCAGCTGCGTTCGCAGCTCGAGGCGCTCTACATGCAGATTCTATCGACTTTGACTTTACCTACACTCCGCAACATTTTTCTCAACCGGCCATCAACAGACCTTCGCAAACCGCTCCAAGGAACCGAGTCACTATTGTCCTCGCTGGCGGACAACTTCACGATGGGCTCAGCTTCGGCCTTGCTAGGCTCTCTGGAATGCCTCAAGCTGCGCAAGTCAGAAAGGCACGCCATAAACAACACATTTCTGAAGCTGAGGGCCGAGAAGCTCTTGTATGGACTCATCGTGGCTGGTGGAAAGCTCGTGAGCGTTATACGGCCCCGGCGACACTCGCTGCACCCCAGCGATCTGCAACTCATTTTCAACATGCTCTTCGAATCGGACGGCATCAAAGGCGCTGGTGGTGAGAATTGGATCCCCATATGCCTTCCAGCGTTCAACAACCAGGGGTACTTGTATATGTACGTCAGCTTCTTCGAAGGTGTGTCGGGTGACCAAGCGAGCGCACCCGATGCCAACGAGGGCCGGCCTGCCGAGGGAGAGGTGGCCATGATCCTCATCAGCCCGGACAGAGAAAGCTTTTATGACTTGAAGAAGATGCGAGACGACGTCGCCCTACAGTTGGCGAAGAACGGCAGCCTCGCTTTGATTCGCAAGGCAGCGCGAGCAGGCCGTCCCACTGTGCCCCAGGTTGCGCCGGGCAGTCAGATCAGCCATTTCTTGTATAAGTCGCGAGCGAATGTGCAGTTCTGCATGTCCTCCCTACAACCCGCTTTCGCTCAAATCGTGGAGCGGAGGAGGCTCATGACCCTGTACCACGAATTGCACGCATCGGCTCACACGAAGCACGCCCACCTCAAGGTTCTACATTGCTGCAGCGAGGAGGCGACGTCGTTGGCATGGATTACGCCTGTCTTCGAGTTCTACTGCGTGGGCGGGCCAAACATGTCGCGATCCTCCATGACGCAAGGAGCAAACAAGATCATCCAGTGGGCAAAGAAGGAAGAGCAACGTCTTTTCATCATTGGGGGCGGCGTCTTTTGAGCGCAGCATGCCCACATCTACCGTTGGGTATTATCATTACCACATGGGGCGCGCCGCTGCCGCTGCCGCTGCCGTCGCTGAATATAGCCTTGCGTATATACAATCATGAATCCCTTTTGACGCCGTTTCCCAATCCTGCACATCCAGTGCAGTGCTGTCCAGTCATGTCATTAAGCCATGTGCACCATTATCCTATTCAACTGTTTCATCAAGTAACCGGTAGCGGGTCAGCCACTCATCTTGGTTCATCCACCTCGGCGACGGCAACCACTGGCCGAGAATATCTGTCGGGGGATGCGAAGCTGTACGGCGTCGAAGTTTCGGATGTCGGGGTAACAACCGCTGACTTGGAGGAACGTCGCTGGCTGTGACCAAAGTAGCCGTCGTCGGACTGCTCCGAGTTCTTTCGTGAAAAGGTAAATGATTTGCGGGCCCAGTCGCGAATCCTGTCGTTGACGCTTGCACGGCGGGTTGCCTCCGAAGACGTCCAACTGTCCTGACGCCACTGCAGTGGCGACGATGACTGGGACTGGTTCTTGCTGCGCATCGAGCCATGGGAAGCATGGCGCTTGGTCTCCATTTCGAGGCCGTTGTGTTGGTCGGGACAAGGGTAGCTGCCGCTGCTGTCCGTCGCCAGTGTGGTCCGTGAGGCGTTCATGAGGGCTTCTGAAAATGGGGCATCGAACACTTCGCGGAACCTTGGGCTGCGTGGGCTGCGAATGCCGCCCTGTAGAATTCCCAAGTCGCGGCTTGCCTGAGAGCAATCCGGCATGACAACATGTAGATTGGGTTTGCGAGACGCCATCGTCAATTGGAAGAGGGGAAGGTTGCGGGCTGTACTGGCTTGTGATGCGGGCGATGAGTGCACTCCGAAGCTGGCGGGGTTCGATCGTACGAAGTAGACGCTGGCAGACCAGTGACGAAGTGTATGCAGGGCGAGAGAGACACACGTCTGCTGACGATGCAATCGAAGTCGGGCCAGCAAGGCTTTTTCATGAGACCTACTGGTGCAACAAGAAAGAAGAAAGAAAAGCAGGTCGATGCCAGCGGGCCGAGCGGCAGAGGATTTACCTATTACCTGCCGCCCACCTGCAAGCAAGTTAACATGTCGCGAAAACGGGGCCGAGGGAAATTGTTGGCGCTCGACGATGACAGACCGTTGGACCCCCATCCCCATCGACGGTCGGAGCAGGGGCCAGCCGTGGTTGGACAGGCGCAAATGGTGATACCCACTGAACCCCTGACTAGCAAAACACCAAGCTTCTTCGAGGGGGCGTTTTGCGGGGACCCGCCCCGGTACAGAAGCCTCAGGGAACGCCGGCACGGCTGCCAGTCACTGGGGCTCCGCCGTCACAGGGGTCTGAAGGTCCACGAGGCGCCAGCCTTTGGAACCACCTGGAGCCACGGGCGGTTGACGAGGTTCCCGACGGCCCAAGGCGGCTTCTGGTCACCTGATGGCATCCGGTGCTTCGACCTGAAGCATGGTTCTGACTTGGAAAGTGGGAATCTGTGGCACAGAGCACGCCAGGGAAGTGTGTGGCGAGACCCTGGAAACCAACGGAGCGGGTGGGCGGCAACCGTCTGCTGCTGGCCCCGAAGGTCGGCATTTGGCTCGCCTTGGATGGCAGTCACGCCGACGGACCGTCCTTGGCTGGCCATTGTCAAAAACACCCGAGGCAACTGGCGACGCACGGATGACACGTCCCGTCGTGCAGTGCAGTGCGTGCAGGGGTCAGCCAGAGATTTTCACAAGTGGCGGCTGCATCGACTCCGTTTCGCTTCAGGTGCAAATTGGTGGCTCGGTTGCGGGGTTACGGAGAATCCCTGCCCGCCGAGCTGGGCGTGGCAACAACCTGGCGAAGGCATCTGAGATCGCAATTCAAACTGGAACCCTGGCACGTGAGCGCCACATCATGAACACTGCATGTGCAACATGACAGAAGCTGAGCCGCTGCCGCCCAACGTCGAGCCAACGCGACAACGCCGCCACTGGCCGCTCGGGGTTCCGCGCGCGACGCGATTACCGCCTCTGCGAGATGAGAGATGCCGTGCGTTGCCAGTGATTAGCGCGTCGAAGTCGGACAGCACACGGACTCATCTGGAAGCCCACGCGATGTCGCTGCGCTTGCACCCAGCCCCGAGACGCACGTGGCATCTCGTCTAGACCGCGAGCAGTAGTCCAAGAGCCAACAGCACGGCAAATTTTCAGGCAAGGACTGACTCCAAAGACGAGTGCGCGATGCTCGCGGCCGCAGACCTCATGCTACATGCTACAAATCACGTGAATCACTCGGCGGCGCAAAGGGCCATGAGGAAGTTACGATGGGCCGCCTCGTCGCGAAGGAACCGCATCGCTTAGTAGCCATGCTGAGTGGCTGGTGAAATCTTGCCCGCCAGTTGCTCCTTCTCTTCTCATCAACGGGGTTGGGACTACTAGCCCAGCTCAGAAGCTGTAGGCGAACCGTTTGCCCTCGACTCTCTTTCGTCCGGATGTCATGACGCTTGGCTCCAGTGGGCAGCTCCCAGGGGAAAGCGACAGCCCTCGTGTGGCCTCGTTCCCCAGGATCTCCTGCGATCACCAAGTCAGTCCTCTCACCCGGGAAGAGTCATCCACGGTGAAGCAAGAGAGGCCTGCCATGGACTTACCTGCCTCCTGCCCTTGAGCACAGCTCTCATGGAGCGCCAAGGCTCAATGTCGACTGGAACCCGCGAGACTGGAGGTGGTTGAACTCAGCCTCCTCTTCTTGAATCTCTCTCGGCTCTGCATCCCATGTCAAGCTAGCCATCTTCTACTGAAGATGCCCAGGGGACATCAGTCTTCCAGTCCTCCCAGTTCGTTGGCGACGTTCTGATTCAGATTCGATCTTCAACGCGGCTTTTTGTCCTGCGCATACTCGTCGCAGTCTTCTTTGTTTCGTGATTCCCAGCTCCGTATGATTCTCTTCCATATTATTCCATCGATCGCAATCCCGACGCCTGCTGAAGTCTCCCAATCGCCACCATGGACATCGCTCAAACTCGCATGAGGTCCACTAGCAGCAGCTCCCTTCACCATGCATACAAATCCCATATCCGACCGCTTCAGAGCGGCACAGGGGTGCGGCCACCCTCCCATCGGCGCCCTCTTCGCAGTGTCAACGAGAACTCGGCCTTGCTTCGTTCTCCAGGTCCGCTGGAGAGCATGCTCAAGAAGTCGACAGAGACGGGCGATATTGGAATTTTCTCCATCATGCCTGGAGCCTCGCCTGCTACGTATCACCAGCCAGCTCGTCCTCGCCAGTGTCTCGCAGACGCAGGCTTTCTGCCATCTGGGACATTCAAAGACTGCGAGGGCGATTACTTCCCGGACGAGCAGAAGCGGCTTCGATCCTACCGCGACACGACTTCTGAAATCATTTCTCTCTACTGCTCGGACAACCAGCAGTACTGGATGCGGCCCTCTTCTCCGATCATTGATGACGGCCAGCGGTCCTTCTCCTTGACAACGAGCAGCTCCCGACAGATCCCATCCCAAAAATCATCGGGCACTCTTCAGAGTCATTCAAGCAGCAGCGGTCTGCAGCGTCCCCGCTCGCCCTTCCCATATCCAACCCGGCTTAAACGTCCAGGTGTCCGCCCCGCGTCTCCAGCCCTCGCAGAGAACGGTATTGTCGACTATACGAGGATGGTTGAGCTGGACAGGACTTCACAGGTTCGTGCTTCTACCTCGAACCCTGTCTTTTGACGAGGCTGATCGTCGCGCACAGCGGACGGTCCATGGGTCTTTCAAACCGACGTATTGTCATGGCTCGAAGAGGCGACCACCACTTTCTCTTCGTGCTGATCTCAACAGGTCGACTTCTTCGTTACCATCGAGAGCATCGCCAAGTCCGTATCAACTGGGCTTTGCCATGAATGGAATACGTACACCAAGTTCTTCGATGCCGGGGCTGTCAAGGACGTACAATCGCCAACATGGTGGGTCCACAGATCACAGCGTGCGCTCTGCGAGCTTGACATCAATCGTGGAAATGTACCAAAGACCTGTGGTGCAAAATGACGCAGGACAGAGGTTTCGGCCTGAAGGAACATTCTACTACGACTACACTGAAGAGTTCGACAGACCTGTTCCTCTAGATACAGTCATGGGGACGGTCTCCCCGCTGTGTCCTATTCCCAAGAGAGCAGGGGAGAATAGCCAGCCGATGGTGTTGAGAAACGACTCGCAGATGAGCCTTGACATCAACTCTACTGACGTTGGTGCTGCTCGAGGTGTGGGTGTCCTAGACGAGAGCAAGAGTAATACTCCCTCCAATTGGTTCGTCATGTCCACTTGCGGTTAACAGGTGTAATAGATTCGCCTAGTGCCCTGGACCAAAGGCTATCAGAAGCGCATCGACGGCACGGCCAGGGCCACTCGATGAGCAGTATAGACGATGTACTGAACGGGGCTGATTGGAAAGAGAACCGGAACAACAATTCAGGCGACTCGCATTCTCCAGAAGAGGCTGGACTTACCGCCCTGGTCACTGGACGTGGCGATTCTCGCTCTGCTCCGCCTATCAGCCAGCTGTCCATTACGAATGTCCGTGTGTATGGAGAATCGGCCAAGGCCGAGCCATCCACGAGCACCGACAAGACGAGCGTCGGAGCGTGGCGAATTGCTAAGACGCTGGGGTCCGATCCAGAGCCCTCAAGTCCGCGTCAGCCAGACCGCCACTCACGGTCGAGTCTGGCCAGACTACGATGTACGCTCGACCCTGCCCTGGCCGAGTTTGCGGCTCTGTTCTCGTCTTTCGACCGCCTGTCCAAGTCACCAGTCGCGAAAGCACAAGATGCCGATTTCATCGACAGAAAGAATGCCGCACAGTCAACGTGTTCGGGGGAGATTGAACGCGACTGCTCACCAACACGATTTGATCTTCATTCGCCTCTTCCAATGCCGGACTCGCCCGCATTGGAACCCAATGCCTACCCTAGGAGACATCGTCGGAACGTGGCGGCTTTGCGAATCAACACGGCCGGCCTTTATGATTACGAGCCCAAGGAATTTGCCTTAACCCCGCCGAGTGAAGCTTTGGCAATTCTATCACCGAAGCCAATATCTCCCGCTAGGCAACTGAGGGTTAAAAACAGCATTCCACGTTTGATGAAGGCTTTGCCACCACTGCCGGGGGACGTTGATGATGATTCGGAAGAGGACGCTGTCGAAGTCATGGATACCACCGGCCACTCACACAAGGAAGCTGAACACAGTGCCAGTCTGTCGAGTGAGGGGATTGTTGGTGCCGATCGTTTAGCAGAGAGAGGTCCCTCAACCCAGGAAGCCATCAATCCTGGTGGTTCTACTCCGCGCAAGTTCAAGGTCCGCATCAGAACATCGTCCTCACTGAGCCGTACTTCCGAGGTAGGCGGACACCTTGGACGTGCAAACGAGCAAGAAACAGATGTGCAACCACTCCCTGGCTTCGCGGTAAAGCCGAAGCTCAAGCTGAAGCTGTCTCGGCATCGACTTGGAAATGGTCAATCAGTTTATGGTGACGCACCCCTTCAAGGCAACCGTTTGAAGCAGTGCAATTCTCTGGCTGATTTGGCACCGCGCACCAGGACCGTGAAGTATACTCACGAGATGCATCTTGCAGAGGTGGTCTCTAGAGCATCAAGATCAAGAGCGGGGGAGCAGAATGCTTCGGATTCCACAGGCAGTAACTTGGGTAGACTGGATCCCTCACCGCGGCCCTCCGATCAGTTCAACATACCTTATCCGCCATCTGCGGACAACGCGAATGTCCTTCGATCAAGCACATCAACACGCAAATTGACCCTGAGTGAGATGCGGAGCTTCAACTCCGACCTTAGCCCGGCTGGCCACCGTGGCCTAAGGCACAAGCTATCGATGCTACGACTACGATTGATCGGCACTGCGACTGCGCAGGACGCAGCAAAGACTGGGGCGGAAGCCACTGGTGTTGTCGAAAACTTATCGGACCCAACGATAAATGCAGGCAAGAAGGCTCTGCGCTCTCCTGAGGTGGTACATGGCGATGCAAAATCGCGTACAATATCATCACAGTCGGGAAAGAAGGGAGGGAGGGTGAGAAAGTGGGCGATCACTGCTAAAGAAGCCGTACGCTCGTACATGAGGAGAACTTTGGATCGCTCCTCACGACTGAGCCAATGAATGAGCGGGAGACGAAGGGTTCACGTTTCGGTTTTGCTCCTGGATTTGCTGGTCTGGATCATTGTCCATATCACTTGGAACACTTCCTTTGACGGACAGGTTGGGCTCACAGCACCGTTTGGCTCCCATGGACTCACGCAGGAAAGTAATCGTGAAGTGAGATGCATCGGTACTGGACCACAGAAGACGTTGAAGGGTATGCTGTATCCTTTGGGTCATGTGGACGGAGGTCGAACTTCCGACAAATATGCGTTAATGAGGTCGGGGATGAGCGTTGTGGGAGCTGTAACAAGAACTTATGGTTATGGCAAGAATTACACTAGTCAGTCAGCAGTCTGTGCGCGATCGTGCCGCAGAAAACAGCCACTCAATGCGTCGCCAAGACGGGCTCGACTCCAAAGCTAACGACTGTGATCCAACACTGTGGCCATGTGGACGTCCAGACTCGGAAGCGGAAGTCCGTCACCACGAACAGGCAGGGCGCCGATCAGAACAGGAGAGGGCCAACGGTATCCCAGAGACAGCCAACCAGTAAGTGCAAGGACTCGCTCACCATAAAAAGGTCAAGCACCCTCTATGGCAGTACCAAGAGGCGGAATCTTCGGAGACTCAAAGCATTGACACCAGCATGGATACTGCAACTCAATACTTGAGCGGCCTGGAGGCTCGTCATGCAGCGCGGCGAGGCGAGCATGACACTCAGACCTCTGGTTTTGCACCAGGCCATCTTCAAGCAAATCTAATCGTCCTACCCTCACGCTACGCGGCCGACTTCCGCGGCCTCTGCGAGAGAAACACGGTGCCTTGCCCTTTGATCGCCGAGTCAGCTCGAACTGGATGCTACGACGAAGTCGTGTCTTGTATCCCCGGGTTGGACGGACAAGATATCCTAAAGAAAGGATGCGACATTAGGCAAGATATACCGCGATACATGGTGTATGAGGATTCGAAGCTATCTAAGTCTCACTGTAAGGACGTGATGGATGAGTGGACCCAGGATAGCGTGGCATTCTTGATCGGGTGCTCGTTCAGCTTTGAGAGCGAGCTTGCGGCCGCAGGACTGCCGAGCCACCAGACTGTTCTGGGGAAAATGGTGCCAATGTATCGTACAAACGTGCCGCTATGCCCATCCGGTGTATTTACCGGCGCGACATATATCGTGTCAATGCGGTCATACCGGAAACGGGACGTGGAGAGGGTGAGGGGCATCACAAGACAGTATAGGGTTACGCATGGGGAGCCGCTGGATTGGGGGTGGGAAGCAGTGAAGCGACTGGGGATTCCGGACTTGCAGCAGCCCGCCTGGGGCGATGCGCCGCTGGGGCAGGATGGTGAGAAACTGGTCCGTGGTGAAGACGACGACGATGACACAGAGGTGCCAGTGTTTTGGGGCTGTGGTGTGACGCCACAGGAAGCGGTGATGAAGGCGGGGCTGAGTGGTACAGTGATCGCGCATGCGCCGGGACATATGCTTATTTTAGACGCGAGGGACGACGACATCAAAAGGTGACTGCTGGGTAAGTCTGAGGCAGTCGGGCGAGAGCCGTGACAATGAGGCGGAAGTCGGGTGTATCACAAGTGCACCACTAAGGACGGGCGATGTTGAAGTGTGCGAAAGGGTCCCTCTCTAGCTTATTCAGCGCCCGTTGCCGTCGGTTGACACCAAAGTGTTTGCTCCAGAATCTGACGCAGCACTGGGCTCGACAGTACTGGCAAGTCCTCACACAATACAGCCGTAATCCGCAGCGCGTCTGATTTACGCCCTTCGCCACTCTTGAAAAGTGCGGTTGTCCTCCGTTCAGCTAAACGATGCCCGTTTCATAGGTGCGCGAATTCGGCGACCGCGGTGATTGATCTGTCCGACTGTCGGCTGTACTGGCCTGCAAGCGCATGACTCCCAATCTGCTCATTACCGAGGTGCAATAGACCTAGCGGCAGAGCAATCATGGAGGAAACCCCAATGGGAGAGTCCATCAAGACCTCGTGAGTTCTGCCAAAATAACATGGTTTCGGACTGTCCTGCTCACTCACTCTTCTCAGCTGCGAAAGATGTCGGCGTCGCAAGGTGAGACATGGACACCAGGGCCCAAGCGTCCACATTGCGGGGGACGACAGAGCTGACCACGGCCATTCTCTCCAAAGATCAAATGCGACCGCAAACGCCCTTGCTCGCGCTGCGCCAAGGCCGGCACAGAGTGCGTTTTGAGAGGCACGGGCGAGAAGCAAAGGTGCGTGTTCCGTCACTGGCTGAAGAACGAGTAGCTGACAGTTGCCACAGACCGGTATCCAAGGGTTATGTTCAAGCCCTCGAGGGTCAAATCGCCTCACTGGAGCTCGTAATACGAAAGCTGGCGTTGGCAGACAATGAGGAGCGAGATGCTATATTGTCCGAGCTACCCGTGTCGACAGCGCCGCCTGGCGACGAGTCCGCCATTGAGAGCAAATCGCCCACATCGTCTACGCCGGATCACAAGCTCGTGGCTGCCCGCCTAAGGGCTGGACAGATGAGGCGACCGCGCGACAGCCAAGTGACACAATTTTTCGGCGGCACGAGCTCATTCCAGATACACTTCTCCCAGGATGTACCCCCGCCGGGCTTTGATGGCCAGCCGGCCGCGACAACCTCTCACAGTGACACGAATGCCTCTAGCTTGGTCAGTTCCGGGTCCGGAGCCGACGCGGAGGAATTGAGCCCCGGCAGTGGATGTTTCCGATATGCCCCTCACGACCAGACATCTCAGACCTTGATGGCGACGTTCTTCAAAGAGCAGTACCAGTACAACATGGTAGTTTACAGGGAGTACTTCCTGCGAGACTATGATGTCGGGTCCGGGAGATACTACTCGGATGTTCTTTTGTATTCCATTTGCGCCCTTGCGGCGTTGCAGTATGACGAGTCTCTTGGACTTTCCGACACGTTCTCCGGTCAAGCGCAGACGCTGCTCTATTCCACTCTTGACAACCCGGACCTCACCATACTGCAAGCTCTAGTCTTGCTCGGGTATAGAGAGATTGCCGTGGGTAAAACGTCCAAGGGCTGGCTGTTCTGTGGCATGGCATTTCGCCTGGCACACGAGATGGGCCTCCACCTGGACCCGAGCAACTGGGACGGCTACACCGGCTGTCTGCGGGACAGAGAGATCCTCCGGCGGGTGTACTGGGCTGTGTTTATTGCCGACAAGCAGCTGAGCCTCTACTTCGGGCGACCGCCGGCGCTTCACCCGAGCGAGTCTGACGTGCGCAACACGATCCGCATGCAGTATCCTGCCGACTGGCAGGGCCTCTTGGAGACATATATATGCAAAACAGCGACTGTCGCGAGCTGGGAGGATGGCGTGGCGATTGTCGGATCACTGATATACCAGGCGGAACTCTCCAAGATCATCCACGTCATGATAACAGACCTGTTCGAGAATCGGAGAGCAGGCGTCGATCCGGCCATCGCCGCGGCCAAATCTCGCAAGATACACGTCTCCCTGACCAAGTGGTTGTCGAGCTTACCCGGGACACTACACTGGAATCAGTGGACAGTTGGACAAGTCCACTCGTCTGTTCTTCATCTACAGTGAGTCTTGCTTGGATAGCGGATGGTTAATACCTGTGCGTGGGCTAACGCAGATGAAGCATGCTCTTCCACACCGTCATGATCATCCTCCACCGCCCGCCATCGAACATGTTTGAGAAGCCTGAGATTGCCGAGAGCGAGGACGTCGAGATCTGCTACGAATCTCTCCAGGCCATTCTGCGACTGATGCGCACATACTCGCGCTACTATCGGTATAGAAGTCTGCCGCTGGACTTTGTCCACACACTTTCGACAGCGGCCGGCACCGTGATGATGAAGCGCTTCTTGCAAGGGTCGTCGTGGGATGACCCGGACATTGACCGCTCCCTATCGCTCATCACGGAGGCCATGGACGAGATCCAAAACACCTGGCCCTGTGTCAAGGAGATACGGGAATGCGTCGCGCGGGCACGCATGGTGCAGACCATGGCGCCGCCCGAGGTCCCTCTCAACGCCCCGGACCTGATGAACGGCCTTGACGTGGACGACACTACCATGGCGGGCTTCATGGCCAACTTTGGCGATGATCTCGGGACGCTGATCACGGATGAGTTCCTGAGTACGCAGCTGCAAACGACGGAGCCTGGCTTGGAGCCGTTCGACTTCAATCATCCACCCGGCATGATCGACTCAAGATACTAGCCGCAGCAGCGCCTCTTAGAGATACACTTGACATGTGGCTTTCAGGCTTCCGCGCGCAGCCGGGCCTTCTCCGGGTGGGCCGGTGTACCAACATATGGCGCCGAATGACGGCTCTTCAATTCTCGAACATTGTCAAGAGCTCGAGTTTCTGTCGCGATTGCATAATATGGGCCGAGGAGCGTGCAAGCTGTCAGGCTGTGCAAGGGCCCGGTACACGACAGCGAGTGAGCCGGTTAGCTATCCACCCAGTAGCGGCCGACGACCTCAAGTGTCGAGACACTGACGCACAGCGAGGTGCGAAGCACGAACCGGCAAAATCCCGATCGAACCAGCTTCTCGGCCAGCGGACGCATCTAGGCGGGGATGGGGAGGTCCATGGGCCTTTTGAGGATTGCTGCGGATCTTCAGCGGGCGACTGGCGAGTTGGCCCGAAGCCTTGGGCGAAAACGGAAGGCGACAGCGTCACAATCCCAGTGGCTCACGACAGCGCGCCCGTAAGGTTGATCCCAGGGTCTTTTGGGCTTCTTATCAGGACAATAGTGCTTGACGCCCTACCAAGCGATTCAGCGACTCTGGACACAGAGCCCGTCGACGATGGTGCCACCTGCACGAAGGACACGGTAAGGCTCGTCCACGCGAGAAACACGAAGTCGAAGTTCGCCAGCGTCGCGCTATATTTAGCCTGCGGACGAGGCCGATCTGCTCTGTGTTCTGGTGGCAGCGCTTGGGGGCTAGGGAGAGGGAGGGGTTCACAAATCACAACCACGGCGATCGGTCGCGATGCGCATCGGGTCTAGCACCATGCGGGTGCAGAACTCTGCACGGGACGGTTGGCTCCTCCTCGGAACGATGCAGGCGGGCATGCAGATCGAACCGACAAGCCCCTCGTTCCACGGCCCGTTGTCGAAACGGTTGGAGAGCATGGCGTGCCATGGTTTTCCGTGCTGCAGGGCAGAAGCGTCGGCGTTATGCTGAAGTGTCACCTATGTACCGATTGCCCGCCAGGGGTCTCACCCGACGAACCTGGCGCTTTTGGAAACTCGCGTTCCATGCATGCGTCCTTCTGGAGGCAGACATGCATGTCGACGGCGCCAGTGCAGTCATGGCTGATTGGGGCCGTTGGAGCGCCGCAGCGTCGTTAGTGGGCTTCTGCAACGACAAGACCGCCGCTCGGATGTGACGAGTGCTGCGAGGAGGCGTAGGGCGCAGGTCGCGGAGGGGGAACAACGGCGTCAGGTCATCTGGTGAAACACGTTGGCTGGTTTGAGTTGTCGTCACGTTTCCGTGGCATGTCAGTCATGGTGCTAAAATTGTCATTTGAGCAGCAACACACAATTGGAGTGTCTCAAGCCCTGGCCCAACATCAACAATGACCCCCCAGGTGCCGCTGGCACGCACTGCCATGCCTTGCCAGCGATGCCGACTAATCATGAAGCAGAGGGCCAACGCCGGCAGATGGCTGGCCTGTGTGTGGTGTGTGGCCAGCTCTAAGCGCTGCAAGTGTCCAGCGGCTGTACGTACTCGTAATGCTGCGCAGGCGCATTTTTCCCGCTCAATGCCAGTGCGCCGCCGCACGGACAGTCCGTCGGCGTTGGCCTGGTCTGGCCTGGGCGAAGATGACGGGGATCCAGCCCTGGAGGTGTTCTCGAACTCCCGTCCCCCCCTCCCCATTCATTGATGACCGACATCCAGCGCTGTCGTAGGCGCCTTGGCCAGACAGCCCCAGGCCCCAAGCCCACCAAACCAAGGCTCCGCCTCCCCGGCCACGTCTCCGTCCGCTCCACTGAGATGCCACCCATCGTCAACTTCACTGTTGATTCATCTCAGCCCATCCCGCGCACCACTCTGTCTCCCTCTACCTCTGCGACTTCGAATCGTGCACCCGCGCCTGTCCAATCCTTCTCTATCTATGCGCCATTCCGTCGACTCGCAGACAAGACTTGACATGTCCGCCTCTTCGACACAAAGCTCACCGCCACACTCCCCGTGATTGCGTCGCCTCCGCGCCATGGACGCCGCCCCCGTGGCCGTCGAGCCAGACGGCGCGGCGCGACGCTCCAGCATCGAGAAGACGCCCATCCTCGTCGACCCAGACGTCGCCGAACCGTTTCACCGCCTCCCCGACGAGATTATTGAACAGTAAGCCTTCCCGCGGTGAAATGCGCTCGAACTGCTGTCGCAGTTGCCACCATATTCCTCGCCACTACGGCGCGACCGGTCCCTGACACGATTTATCCGCAGGATACTCCTCTCTGCCGACCCCAATGGCTTCGCTTCACTATTGCTTCTCAACAGCAAGTGGAGAGCCGTCTCTCAGCGACCTCATCTCTACCGACACCACCTCGCTCAGTGCGCGTCCTTCCTTTCGAGCCACGACGACTTGCCCGCCGCCAACGAACAGAATCTCCCAGTTTTGCGACGCCTCTTCGTGCGAGAAGCCAAACGAAATCTCTTCGATGCATATCTGCGGCCCAACGAGACGGTCATCAAGCTTGTGTCGAACTCCATCAGCTCCTCTTCCTGCCCTGGTGGCGAGGGCATGCAATTTGGCTCCTCCCCAAGCGGCTCGCAATTCCTTGCCTACAACTCCTCTCGGATATATGTTATCGACGTGCGAGGCGAAGGGCTTCAAGTAAAGAGAGAGCTCCGGATTCTGCGTCGCCCTGTTTCAGCTTGCATCACCGACGATGCTAGCCTGCTCGCCGTTTTGTCGACCGAAATGCAGGTTGACCTCTACGACTTGACGACGAAGCCGCCGCGACGCAAGCATTCAATCATTCTCGACAACAGTCCGCGCACGATCGCCATCTCCTCATGCGGCACAGTTCTCGCCGCAGCGTACGATGGAGGCATCGAGGTGTCGTCACTGCACCAGGGCGCCTTGGCTACTGACCGAAGGGCTGTCAAGTGCGACGCCGTCGACGCCCTGGCCTTCTCTCTCGACGGGAGTCAGATACTGGGAACAACCATACATTCGCCCTCTCCGAGCACCGTTGTCCTCACCGCACCCTACTACGACCCGGGAAGTCAGCTCGCCGAAAGTAACCTCAGTGCCATGTGGACGACGTCAATCCTCTTTCCAAACACGAGCCGTGACTGCAGTCACGCTATTCTTCTGCAGGACGGCAGCCACGGGGAGGCGGAGTGGACGTTTACCTATGACCGCAGCTTTGAGACGTTCCGTGCCGTTCGGCTCGACGACCTGCGAAACGGGACGACCTACTTCACCGGTCCGGTCCCCAAGGCGACCTCACAGTCAAAACTCTTACCCTGTACGCTACCCGCTTCGACACACTATGGAGAGCTCGTTTCGGCGGGATTCCAGGGGAATGAGGTCTGGGTCTATGGTGTGCCAGGCGATCTGGATGCCGTGCCGGAGGTCGCTGCCAGCGAATCGTCTGCGGGGTCGTCCGCGCTGGGCCGGCACAATAGTGTGCAAAGCAGCTTATCCCGCAATGCCTCTACGCGGGGTCAGGATGGTGACGGCGAAAGAGTCCCACAGTGGCAAGTCCTCTGTGACAAGCTTAGGAACAATTTCGTTGCTGGATGGAAGATAGCGGAAGTGGCTGGCATCAGCAACGTCAAGTGGGTCGCGGACTTCGCATCCAGCTCATGCAAGGAACGACTTGTCGTCGCAGCTCGAGGCGTGTCTGGCCCCAGACTTGTTACAGACGAAGAGGACATCGACTTTGTGGACGGTGGCCGCATCTGTCTGCTAGACTTCGACTATGGCCTCGTCAACGGTTGCAGAACGGAAATCACAATCGAAGTTGGAACCGACGACGCCGAGGTTCTGGAGGAGGAGAAGCGTGACATGGAAACAGAAGTAGCCATTGTCCGGCGGAGAACCGTCGCTCAAAGGCGAGGTGGCCGGACAGCACTGCTTCGGGCGGCAACGAGTGCCGGACAGGAACCGCCTCTTCCTCGTCTTAACCTACCTGAAGATGACGACGACGATGATCCTCTGGTGCCCCGAACCATCGGCAAGCACCCAGCTAGTCAACAACCCGCGGCCAACTTGACAGAGGAAGGCGACTTTGCTTCAATCGAGGAACAAGAAGCCCTGGATGCGCCCTACGCGCATGCAAGCCCTCGATCTGGCACCACTCTCCGACGAGCAGCAACTGCCGCTGCCGTCAACCGCAGACTGAATCCTCGAACTGCTGATGGGCGGCCCATCGAGTACCGACGCGCCGATGGGAGAGGCGAACACCCACACGAAAGCGATGCCGATAACTGGGTGCCTCCGCCCCCGCCGTACCAGAAGGATGACCCTGTGGACCTGCCGGCCTTCTTGCGTGGACCCGCTGTCGCACCGCTTCCATCGTCGACTGCCACTGTACCACCGTCCGCACAACATGCCGACGGATACGCAAACATGCTGGACTCCCAGACGCCAGAAGGGAGCGACGTAAACGTTGCTCATCGACGCCGCTCGCACCACAGAACGACGAGTGAAGTCACCTCCTCCAGTCGTCTGCGGGTCGAAGGCATGTTGAGACCGAGGTCGAGCCCTTCTCTTCGCTCCGTGCACATGAATCCTGACGATATCTATGATGTGTCGCCCCCAGGTTCCCCGCATCTCCCACAGCCAGGTCTGCCAGAGGACCAACAGGTCTCCAGGCCAGGTACGGGGGCGGCGCAGGGGCCCTCGGGGGCGTCCTTTCCCCCCTTGCGGACCGAGACGTTTCATGTTCCGTCGTCGAGCGCGCCGTCGACAAATGCCTCGATCAACGCCTCCCTGACATCGACAAGGACGGATGGTTCGCCACGCCAAAGTGCGCCGGTTCTGCAGTTGCACATCCCCAACTCTCCGCTCTCCGGGCTTCCGTCGGTGAGCGCTGTGGAGCCGCAGATGCGGCGACTGCCAAATGCGCAGACGTGGCCCCATGCGCCAAGATCCGAGGATCAGTTACCGAGTCTGAATGCAGCGGGTTATCCGCTGACGGCTCCGCCCAACATCACCGGCCATGACTTCGCCACGTCTCTCCCGCCTGCTCCCAGCTCTGGACAGCTCGCAAGTTTAAACAAGCGCATCAGCCAGGGCAATCCGCGCCGTCTCTCGGGCGGACCCCAAGCGCACCAGATGCTCACTGATGATGGCGGCTCCAAGAGCCAGCCAGGCCACCACCACCACCAGCAGCTAGCTCACAATGCTGGGACGGACAACTCGACCATACAAATGCCCGACTTTGACCGGCCGCTTATCATCAGCACACCTACCGGTGTGACTGGCGCGTTCGATCCCCCTAACCGACGTTCGTCCACCCGGCAAGGAGAGACTCACATCTTGGCACCTATACCGCGGCACCCGCGACAAAACAACTTTATCAACCCCCGACCCGTTGAGCGACTCGAGCCCATCTACGACACCAGCGCCCAGTCACAGCCGCCCCAGGCTACGCAGCCCAAGCCTCCGAGCGGTCTGCCGGGTTGGCTTCGGTCCGGGCCGTCTTCATCCCGCTCCAGCCCCTCGATGATCAACAGGCGACCAAGCCGGGCAGAGAGGAGTGCCGCGCGGAACATGAAGGACGCGCGTAAGAAGGGTTGGACTGGAGACAAGAAGAAGAAGAGAAAGGGAGGCAAAGACACTGGCGCGGCGTACGAGGTCGCCAGCAGCGCGGGTTGGACCGACGTGTCAATGCCGTCCGCCCCAAAGGAGAAGAAGTGCGTCGTAATGTGAAGCGGAAGAGCCTTGTTCCTGTTATTCATTCCCCTTGACTTTGTTCTCGGACCGCTGAAGTCCTTTTTGGTCGCGGTTGTTGAGGCGATTAGGCCTGACCACTCGGAGATGGCGGCCGCTCTGTGTGCGTTGATTCTTGATGCAGCATAGCGTTCAGCGATGATATCTTGGGGGACTGTTTGTGCACTTTGCAGTTCCCGCGCAGCACCGGGTTGCATATCTTTGAGACACATTTTCTCTCGCTTGGTTTTTCCCTTTCTGTTTGCATTTTGGATTTTGGATGAACTGGCTGAGCCCAGCATCTGTGGGACATCATCTCCCCCATCTACATCAGCGCAGCATATACTCTCGCTTAAGCGTCTCTTTTTCTAGTCTCTCTGTTGTCTTTTGGCGCTACTCTCGAACGGAGAGGGAACGGGGATCCCATGTTCTCTAGATAAGCGATTAACTACAACTAGCTACGCGGCTAGTACAAAATACCAGTAATTGCAAAGCGATGCGGTCCTTGGGCACATTGAACGCAGTGCCTCCCGCGAACCGGAAAACCGGTCGCCTGTGACTTAACTCAACGCCGTACTCCAAACCCTCCAGTGGTATGTCCCTCTAGTATTGAGATGAAGGAAAATATCAACAAGTCCCGCCCAATCGTACGTTTCTGGCGACGATGACAAACATTACTTGAGACCTTTACCGTAGAACACACGTCCTGCGCAACCTGAGATCAGTCACGGTTTGCCTGTCTTGCAGTGCTCCGAGCGGCGAGTTTGCTTGAAGACGACCGCTGCTTTCCGTGGCGTCAAAATGCTGCTATTCATATCCTGGGCGTTGCGCCAGCGACGTACGGCTTGCCCTTGTGCACCTTATCGAGACCGGCCTGGCTCATCATGTCCGAGAAAGTCGTGGTGCGCGGATCACTGCTCGACACGGTGGTCGGATCCGCAAAGACGTTGATGCTCTCGCTGCTGGGGTCGTCACGCGATATGCTGTCTGGGCGGCGCGAGTGCCTCGCCACAGAGGCCCTCATGGCGCGGATCGGGGCGAGGCGAGCGCCGACGTGGCCGTGCTTGGCGTTGCGGTCGTCGTGCGACGTGGCCGACATGGGCGACCGCGCGGGAGAGTGCCCAGAGGGGTTGGGCGAGTCGAAGGGGTTGGGGATGGAGATGCGTGGTGGGTTCGCGCCAGAGCGAGGGGGGTTGTGTGGTGGAGGAGGAGTCTGAGGTTCTGACGGGAATGCGCGAGGTGGGCTCCCGCGGAGGAAATCACTTCGGTAGGTTCCCGGATGGAGGACCGGGGCGGATATAACCGCGCCGTACGGTCCGGAGCCGCTGGAGTTGGTTCGCGAGAACCCAGACTTTTCAGAGTTTCCTGCTCGGCGCCTGCGCCGAAAGTAGAGGAAGATGACGGTGATGATGAGAAGTGACACCAAGCAGCCGCCGACGGCACCGCCGATGATGGACGTCTTCTCCGGGCCGGAGTCAGAACTCGGCTCTTGCTGGCTGGGGCTTGTAGTCGTAGCAGCAGGCGACGCAGGGTCGCCAGTCGTCTTCGTGGCTTGGGGGCCTGCCGTTGATATCGTCGTGGGCGTGCTTGATATCGTCGCGGTCGGCGCTGTCGAGCTTGGCTGCGTGGCCTTGGGTTGTTTCGTCTGGTCCGAGTCCTTGGCGCACTCCTTTCCGTCCTTTGCGCAAGTGTAGCCAAAGGGGCAGCACAAATCAGTACCGCACTTTCCCAAGGGCGTGTCGAAGATGGTGGTTTTGATGGGCGCCTGAGGGTTCTTCAGGGGGTCCTGCTCCCGGACGTTGCAAGTGATGGGCTGGATCCTCTCGCACTTGCTGTCCGAAGGACAGCAGAGCACCGTGGTCTGCCCAGCAAGAGAGATGCAAGAACTGCCTTTCGGGCAGCAGAACTGAGACGGTAGGTCGCCCGAGCACTGCTGGAGGCCGTTGGTGGCGCAAAAGTTGTCGCGTCCGAATATCCTTGAAGGCGACCTTGCGGACACGGCGGACACGGCGGACACGGCGGCCGGTGCGACCATCGCGAGCAGAAGATGGCGCATGGCGACCGAGAGCGGAGCCATGGCGGCCGTGTATGCGAGTGGCCAGGCACACTTATACAAGGTTCGCTTCCAGTCCTCGGAGGGTGTGGTCGAGAAAAGTTGATGTGCTGAAGCGCCGTGGGATCTTGATCGAAGTTGGAGACGCGGGGGGGTTCGAAGTACAGTATCAGGTCAGAAATGGATGTAGCACGAGGGCTACTAGAGGCCTCGTGAGGTAGTCAGAGATGCCCAAGAACAGAGACAAACGTCGTTTGGACAAAAACGAATCGGTGAATTCGGTATTGCTCGAAGCATACACTGTCGTTATGGACAGAGTCAAGCAGCACAAAGGAAGATCCAACCGAGTAGAAACAAAGAAGAGAGCACGATGGCGCGCGCGAGACAAAGGAGATGCGAGGCTACGGGAGCACACACGAGCAGATGGCCGGGCAGGTCGTTCGACGCGGTCCAGAGCCGTTCGTACAACTTTTCATCATCGCACCACGGCCGCATGCCGGTATTGCCTTGGGGGGGGCCTTTGCCGCCAGCCATTTCTTCCACACGCGCCAACAATGGCGTCGTCCCTGGCACGTCCCGGGATAAACGACAGCCTCTCCCTCTGCGTCGGCGCGAACCAGTCGACCAGACCGGCCCCCATCATTCATTCCCTGCCCTGCGCAGCCGTGATTCCTGTACCCGGGGGCGCGCACGCTGGGGGCCGACCGAGGCCACTCAGCCGGCCGCCGACAGGCCCACGATGTCACTCGCCAGGAGGCACGGAGGTTTGGCGCCCGCACGTCGTCAGTGGGAAATCGAAGGCAAGGCGCGGCGCAGGCAAAGGACGGAGAGTGGCAGCGAGGCGAGGCGGTGCACGGATTGCTTCGGGAACCACCTAACTTAGACCAGGCAGGCGCCCTTGTTCTCTTTGTCCGTGTAGCGGGAGGCGCTGGACGAGGCCAAACGACAGGCCGGCGATGTGCAAGCAGGACCGAGAAGATCTAAGCAGGGCCGGGCCTGTCGACGAACGGCGGACATGCGCGCATCTTCTGAGACGCGCCGGCGCTCAAGGCGAGCCCGGCGAGTGGACAGGAGGTGAGGTTGAGGAATAGGGCAGAGCGCTTAGAAGCCTATGGCCGGGCGGTTGTCGCAGAACAGGCGCGTCAGGGAGCGCGCGGGGCTGTGATTGGGTGCCGATGTTGGGCGCTTTCCAAGCTGGGCAGGGGAGACGCTGAGCCTCTGAAGCCACCCAAGAGCCTCCAGGTCCAGTCCACAGTTGGACGAAAGGCCCCATGGGCGGGCTGGTCCCGCTATAATTTCGATTGGCGGCGGCGGCTGTTGTGACGCTGCCCAGCAGTAAACTTGGACTTTAGCTGTCAACCGCCAGGCCTCCAGGTCGTACCAAGGCCTTACAAGCCATTCATCACCTGGAAACCCTATGAATAACCCAACTCTTTCCATAGATAGTGGAGAGCGCTTGCACCGCTGCCCGAGGCCTCTCGGCAACTAGGCTCCCCTGCTATCTCTACGAAATTTCGCTTTGGTCCTGTCTGGAAATACGACGTCACAGCCTCTTGAGCCTTGCTTCTTGAGTCTCGCTAGTTGAGTCCCGTCCGCCGCGCCCACATGGGCAAGCTGCGCTGCAACCACCCACGGCCACGGGTCTTACAAGCAAGTTGCAGTGAAAAGTGGCTGATGAGGCCAGGTCGCCTTGATTCTTAGTACTCATCCGCAAAACTTGCTCTATGCATGTATAAGACAAGCCATAGGCCAATATGAGAGGCCCAAGGGCTGCACTGATCGGCCCGCCGCAGGCAAAGTCCGCGCCATGGTCGTGTCGCGTCGTTGTCGTCGTCGTCATCAGTGGCGACGAGCGAGGCGTTCCGTTCATAGCTTCACTGCCCAGCTGTCAAAAGCCGTCCCTGTCCGCCTCGTCCTGCGGCCGGTTCGCCGATGGGGTCTCGCCTCAGGAGTTACGACACGAGTGGCTTGAATGAGCGGGCACCAAGGAGGTCGCCCCAAGGTCCAGTCTCGCGGTATTGCCGCGTTTGGCGGCGGTGCTCGTTGACCCCTGATGTCGTTCTCCCCACCGCCACCATCCTCCATCACACATAGCTGCCTTTCAAGTCTCCATGTACGCCGTCCGTTGACCACACGTGCCGGCGCCGTAGCTTGACCTTTGCCGTGTTTCTCGTCCAAGCGAGCTCTTCTCAGCGAACCAATTACCCTTCTGCCCTGCCTGCCTTCCATACCCCGGGCCTATCTAGGTGCCCAAGTGTTTGCTCCCCGAGTCCCCCTGGTGACCTGCGCCAAGGCTCCTTCACCATCCGTCATCCACCGTCCGCAATCACGAGACCTCGTAGCTTGATCCAGTTGACGTCCAAAGTCCAAAGACCGGACCCCCGGCCGACCCTGTTGATTCCCTGCTTTGCTTCCCACCCCCTCATCAAGCGCCGCAATCGTTCCCCAGCTTGCTTGCCCATGTCCCTTGCACGGGCACTGCACGGATCGTTGGCTTGCCCCGGCGCGGGCAGAGCTGAATGACTGACTGTGCGCTCGCCGTCCATCCGTCCTTTCCGCATCGTGTGTCTCTCGCCCAACAGTCGGAACAGGCCACACGCCCCCCCGTCCAAATCACCAGACAGTGACATGGGCGAACGTCCAGCCCCCAAACAATCCCACGGGTCCCCCCATTCCCGCCCCCCTCCCATCTGCCGGATCCCCACGTCGCAAGCACGCAGAAAATGCGTGTGCATGATGGATGGATGGATGGATGGGGGCACGGTACGGCTCCGCCTCCCGCGCGTCGGCCCGGGCGACCCAGCTCCAAGGTCAGACTTTCGCTGCAGACTGCAGAGTGCACTGCAGTGCACCGCACGGCCACCGAGACTCCGCGTCCCTCGTCCCTCTTGATTGATTTGCCCTGTGCGCCCTCATGCCCCCATGCCATGCCATGCTCTGCGGCCACCCGGATGCTCAGATGCATACTCGCGCATCAGCTGGGCAGATCGCCACTCCACCGGCACGACGGGCAGACGGTCGTCGTTCTGCCTTCTTGGCCCCCGCCCCGTCGACCGCCGCTGACTCTCCCGCCTGGTTGGGCCGCATCGCCCGCCACAATTCCCAGACCGACCTCCGTGGCCCTGTTCCGCTGCGCGCTGGGGCGCATGATCCTCACGAGAGAGAGGGCCACTCACTCAGCGCAGGGGAGAACAGGCAAACACATCTCCGGGACCCAGTCAACCTCGACCGCCAGAGACACACAGGACAACGCGGCGTTGCGACTTACACGCCCCTCCCAGGGCGGCCTCCCTTTCTCGCCCCCCAACGACCACAGTTTACTTGCACTGTCCGACTATTCGGACGCCCGCCAAGAAAATCGAAACCGCCTTTCCGTGCGGTGATGCCGTGGAGGCGACGTTGCGTTCCAAGCCTGTCCCCGTGACCGTGAAGCAAACTTGACGACGGACCCTGCCTGCGTCCATACCCCGATAGACTGTCGCGCTCGTCGTCCAAGCAAGCACGCCATCTTCCAATCTCAAGGCTCTCTCCGCTCTGTCTCGGCCCCAGACAGCATGTCATCAGCGGGCGGGAGACCCAGTCCTGCGCGGGGACGGGGCCATCGGCCACCCGATCCGATCGAGCAATGTTGGGTCGTTGAACCCGCTGCCAACACCGCTCCTCCCCCGCCGCCGCTGGTACATGATATACGAAGCTACGGAGTTCATGGAAGTTCCATTGACCTCCGCAAGCTCCGCCCCGCCATCACAAATGATACCTGATGGCGTTCGACGCCATGCCAGCAAACTACGTGCGGCTGCTGACTGCCACACACGAGGGTTCGCGGGCCCCCGTTTCCGCTTGGTTGCTAGGGACTGCACGATGCATAGCGTAGTTTGTCATGGATACTGAAGCCGTGGCCACGGTACTGTATCGTATGTTGGTTCTGTCGGTCCCAACAGCAGCTGCAGAGTTCCCATCGAGCATATGATATCGTACTCGGGCGAATCGAAATGTGAGCTGAGTCCCAGTATCAGGGAGCAAGGTCGGCGACCAACGGCAAGCACACAAACCGAGGCTCGTACTCAGCAGACGGCAGCTGGTGATAGTGGCATGACACGCGCAAGGTCAGCGAGCCCGTAGTTGATAGTCCCTGGACGATACTGCGAATGTCCCAACACCCGCCGAGTGACCGTCGGTCAAGTAGAACCCAAACGCCGGGATGGAGGAATCATCACAACAGGCCGTCGTGCAGACAAACATCTGCCAGAGAACACGTCACAATCACATGCCGTATGGCTGTAGGCACGGAGTACTTTGCCGTAAGTCGGAGCCGCCGGCCCAATTGCATTGAAGTGAGACGAGGCCTAGGATCAAGGGACCCTGGCCCTGTTGTGCTGCTATCCTGAGCTTTTGTAAAGCGTCATCCATTCCACGTGTTCCCTCTTGCCTGCATGCTCGGCTAGCAGCTGGCGTCCGTGTCCTTCTATGCGTCTCCCCGACGCGCCCTGATTCCCTTCACGCCCTGGTATCTGTGATAATGATAGCGAGCGGTGAGGGGGCCGTAGAAACAGCGCCCCAGATGCAGACCGACCACCGACGCCAGATGGGCTCTTTGAAACCAGATGGTACACCATAATGAGAAACCCATGCTAAAAGAACACCTTCTTTCATCATCCAACAGCCAAGCACCCTTGGCGTCATCGTCCAACCTCATCACATCCCTGCCTGTCTACCCAGAGTCCAGCCCCTTTCCCCCGTGTCCAAGTGTCCAAGTGTCGAGAAGACTTCCCCAAGTGTCGCTTCTCTTCCCGTTTGTGTCGTGTCACTCCTGGTGTGTGCTTGCCTTGCGGCGTCCTCTATGAAATCCCGTACCAGAGGGGTATATGTGGCAGATCAATGCCATGAGAAACGTATAGTGAGAAACTGAGAAAGGAAGAAAGAAAACAAAAGCACCAAGGCACCGTGCTTCCTCGGAGACGACGACAGAACCTGCTTCGTCTTCGGATGCGGGTCGCGTTATGCAATCCTGAGAAGGGAGGACAGCCCATCCATAGAGACCTCTGGTCGAGACAGGCCGCTCGCTTCCTTCAAAGACCAGCTATTGAAGAGCCAAGCAGGCTTGACGGTACCGAGGTCTCTATATCAGGAGGAAGTCCCACCCCTTCATCTGCATGACATCCCGCCAGTGGATGTGTTGCGGCCCCGCATCCGACCCCGAGGAGCCGGGGGTGCTGGCTTGCGATAGTGCATCGTTCCGCATCCACACCTCGCGCAGAACCGTGACCATGCGCCCAAAGGAGCCACATGTAGCCTGCTGACCAAGTTGGGCAACCCGGTCCTCGAACAGCGCTCGAAAGCTGCTGCCTGGGAGACTGATGGAACCACCAATCAGATAGACCCAGACCAAGCTGCGGTCGAAGCCCTCCGGCCCAGAAGGAATGTGCTGAAGCACCGTCGTCAACTTGTCAACCAAGGCCATTGGAGAAGGTTGGCTGGGGTTGAAGCCGGGGACCAGACTGCACAGGTAGATGCGCGCAGCAAGACGGAATGCGTTGGTGATGTTCTTGGAGAGCTGCTTTGGGGACAGGCTGCCGTTGACATTGAAGGGGCTCTTGGGGCACGTGTCACTTCCCTCAATCATGCTGATTTGCTCCCCAAGCGCGGAAACGTGCTGGCACAGAGTAAAGTCGTCCATGCCGTCACGCTTCAGCGACTCAAGGCAGGCAATCTCCGAGATGAGATACATGACGCGGTCCTCGCAGCCCATGAGCTCGCGCAGCCCCAGATGGTGGTTGTTCTGCGACAGATGCTTCTCGCGGTAGGTGTGGGCAAACGTGGGAGAAGTGCCTTGCATGGTGGCACCGAGGATGTCGATCCACCCGGTCAGAGTCATGTTGAAGGGTGTCCGTGTCATCTCGTTGGTGGCGTCCGAGACGAGACGAGGCAGCTCCAGCTTCTGAACGAGGCTAATTGCGGCTTGAAAGTGCTGGTGCCAGGCAATATCCAGCAGGCCATCGTCAAAGCGGCCGACGATGCACTGGAAGAAGATGAGCCCCAGGGTGGCCTCAAGGATCTGCTGGTGGTTCTCGTCACGCTTGAGGGCCTCGCACAGCGAGAAGATGGTGGCATAGCGGTGGCGCATGATGTCATTGTCAATCTCATCGCCCGAGACATTGGCATGTGTCTTGAGGTGCTGGGCCGCGATGCTAAGGCAGCAGTGCAGGTAGACACTGTTGGACTGAAGCGCGGGAAGGATCAGGTCGGACCCGACGGAGCCATGTTGGTTAGACTCAAGAATGGGGAAGATTGTTGGCAAGACGAACTGGATGAAGTGCTCCAGCAGGCGCTGGTCGTGCTCCTCCAGCTCGATGCGGATCTGCCCGGTGCTATCATGGGGGCCGTGGGAGAAGTCGAAGAAGTTCACGTTGAGGGCCTCCTCAGATAGTGACTCCTTTCTCTCGTGGTGGATGTGCTCAGTCCAGGCACCATCCAGTGGTCCAGAGGGCAGGACGGTTCCTGGGGGCGGTGGAGTGTGGTAGGTGCTAAAGGTCGAGACATGGGACTCCTTCAGCGTGGGCACGTCGTTGACGAACATCTGCCGCTCCGTCTTGACATCGATCTCATACGGCGAGTAGCCATTGAGAAGAAAGTCTGGGTGGATTTGAGCGGTGTAGACGCCGTAGTCTGCGCCATTGGGCGGGCTGTTGAAGTTGAAGCCGGCCGAGAAGTGTGAGTCGATGGAAGCAGACCTCGTGCGATCCATGGGGTCCGTGAAGGTGGCCGAGGTTGGCAGCGAGTGCGAGAGGCCCGGCGGAGAGCAGACCGAGGTCTGGATGGGGTGTGACGACTTCTCCGCGAGCTTCTTGCGCTTGATGATGTTCTTGATGTCTTCCTTGTGCCGGCGGCGCGCATCGTTGTTGCTCCACCACATCGGTCGCTTGTACTCGCACTGCAGACCAAGGTGCTTGCATGCTGTGCACATGGGGGTGCCCTCGTCGCACTTCTTTCGTCTTAATCTGCAGGTAAAGCAGCCTGAAGAGCACAGAAACGTGTTGTCAGCGGGATTCGTGGCCATTGGAAAACGAAGCTCCTCGACGGGCGCGGACCACCCGCACACACACAAAGTGCGTGTAAGTGGCTGCGTGTAAGTGGGAGGCGGGCCAACGTACCTGTGCGCGACCGGCGGTGCATCTGTGTTTTTGCCTTTGCATTTCCATTGCTGGACTTGACGGCCGTCTTGGCCTTTGCAGACTGTGTCGCGGCCATGTTGACGGCGCTTCCGGGAGCTCGCATCGAGCTCTTGCGATGGTCGGGGGGCGCGGTAGGCATTTGTACGAAGTACCTGCGCCGAGGTGGTGTTGCTCTCGCCGACAAGGCAGAGGGCACAGATGCAACAGACAGGGGGGAGGGGTGGTGAATTTGACAGTGCAAAGACTGCAAAGACTGCACGGTGGCCGGGGAGGGGGAAGGAGGGCGGGCGGCCAAAAGCGGGACAGCCAGAGACAACCTCGACAAACCAGGCCAGGGTCCAACAAGTGCGTGGCCCCGAGGTCGATCGTCGCGGGCAGAGAGGGGTGCTCCTGGCTCTCCTTCTCTCGGTCCAGCCAAGTAACGGTAACGTGCGTTATCAGCGAGTGGACCATATCAGCGAGTGGACCACTTTTCACCACA